TTAAAAATAGTTTAAAAAAATTTAAATTATATGTTTATAATTTACAAGCTGTTAAATAATTTTCTTACCTTTATCTTCCTCAATTTTTGAAACTAGTTTCATTATATTACAAATTTGGTTTGAAAAAAATTTAGAGCAGTTTCAATTTGTATTAGATATATTCATGTTATATACTTTTACCTTTATTATTACTTTGAGCCATTACTAAATAATATTGTTGGAATTCTTCCTAAAAAAATGAGGGTAAGTACCAATTGAACGCCTTTATTCAAGTATATATAGTTGTTCAATGTTATTTGTGGCCCGACAGGCCTGTACTCCAAACACCCATGGGCTCACGTTGTACATCTATCCTATCACTTTGGTGTATCAACACCATCATTTGATATCCAAATAGCGCCCAAAGTATGACCCATCCTGGTACAATAAAATAGGATACACCACGTGTAATAAACATGCAAGGATTGCCATTAATATACATTTTGTACCACCTTATAACTATAAAAAAGGCAAAAAAAATTTCAAGGTTACACATTAATTTGGCCAGAATTAAGATAATTTCGCCCAGCAAAATTTGGCCGGAATTAAAACGGACATAAATGTCTGCAAATTTGGCCGGAATTATAAAATGAACATGTGTCCGGTTTTCAAATTTGGCCAGCATTATGAATGTAAATATTTTAACTAATCATCCAGTGTCCCATCGAGATATGCTAAATGGTGGTAATTTCATATTTTATTATCAATAAATAAAAAGTTATTAGCAAAAAATTCTTTTCAATAAAATGTTAATATCTTATTAATCCTAAAGGTATGAAACTACCACCATTTAAGATAATTCAAAAAAATAATCCAACAACTGAAGCTATATTATCTCTTTCTGTATATTATCAAGATTGAGAATAAAATTTCAAAAAGGTGTAGTGATAATTTTAAATAGAGGAATTTAAAATTGCAATTTATTCTTATTAAATTGACTCCAAAAATAAATAGCACTTCATTTTTTTTTTACCTATAAAAACATTTTTTTTTTTTTTGTTAAAAAGATTGTTCTTTACATTTTCCTATCATTAGTAATTTTTATGAAATATTTTGGCAGGCCATTATTTTAATATAAGTGAAAATAATGGATTTTATTAAAAAATATTTGTTCAATTACAGACTGGTTTATTTAAAAGAAAAGTTATACATGTACTTTATACAAATTCAATAATTCTTTAACATTCCCTCACAATTTTCTTTTAACATCATGTTAAATGAACTATCTAATTTGAGCCCTGTAAAAAATCTGATCCGTGTTTTATCTTTCCATGTTTTTTCCGTGAATGTATCATTTTCATGGAATTAATAGCCTTAAATCATGGAAATTTTCATCTCGCTAACGTGGATATCCGTGAATGTATCATTTTCACGGAATTTTTCGGATAAAAATTTTTTATAGGGGAGAGGTTTAATCAGTTTGAACAAAGGCTAAGTATGTATATTATATATATCAAATATAGTAAATAAATGTATTAATATTTATCATAAAATAAATATGTAAAAATTCAATAAGTATTATCATCATATTGTGAAATTTTGTTTGCAAAAGAATTAAGCAATCGAGATATAAGTAGCTTGGGTTATGGAACGATTTCCTGACATTCATTTTCACGATTTCCCGACAGGACAAAATCCCGAAATCAAATTACGAAAATGATTCACAAAAATACATGATTTAAAAAAAAAAATAAATAAAAATGAATTTTTTGATATACTAATAAATAAATTAATAGAAAAATTAAATTTTATGTTTATTATTTATTTAATTTACATTTTGCATAATATTTTCTTAATTTTTTATTAAATGAACAATGAATTTATTATTTTACAAATTATTACATTTATCATATAATTTATCTTAATTGAGACAATTGTTTTTTAAAAAACACAATACCTTTAATAAAATTAAAATTCAATTAATAAAGCAGCTATTTTAAAAAATTTATTATTCTTTGTCTGTTGTAAATAACATTAAAATATCCTCAAATGCTTTCTTAATTAAAACACCCAAATTAAACAAATTAAACAGGCGAAAGGAACCATATTTACTATAAATTTAATAAAGTATTATAAGTAAAAACTTACAAATTGAAAAAAATTAAAGAGAAATAGTATGTGCAATACCTCTTAAATAATCTAGAAAGGAATAATCTAATCATCACGACTGATGAAAATGGTTAAAAGACGATTTTCACGGTCAACAATGTAATTATTGTTAAATACTATATATACCCAACCAAAGTTACATTTTCATAAATTGAATTCGGGAAAATGTCATGTCGGGATAATGATCATTCGCACCGCCATTCTTTTCGCCGGGGATTGTAATATCAGGTTTCGGTTTAGGCCAGTCATTCCTGAAACTAGTAAAGAAAAGAAGAAAACTAGCTCTCCAAGCTACGCAAGCTAATCTATGATAGTTTGGCGCACTTAATGATAAAGTTAACATCTTTTTTGCTTAGATCAGTTTTCAACTTTATTAAAAATTGTAACAATTTATACAAAATAAATTAAAGAAAAACTAGCTATGATAGGCTAGCAAAAATCTTACGTCACACTTAATAAAGTCATGTGATCTAATATCTAACAGAAATTGTCCATTTTTATTTACCAAAATTTTGCAGATCATCGCATGTTAGCTGCTTCATATTATTTCAGGATTTTTTGAATATGAAACTATTTATTGCATAAATTTTACAAATTGCATAACAAGAAGTTTAGAAGGTTAAAATATTGTAATTCAGTTAATATCAGTTAATATCAGTTAGATCATTATGAATTTACCTCGGTCTCAACGAGACGAATCTAATGAACAAGAATCATGTAATCCAATCACCAGAACAAAAAATATTACACAAAATGACTAAATGTTTAAACTTTTTAAAATGTAGTTATGTGCTAAATATTGATCCCACAAATGTAAAATTATTATTATTCGAAACTAGACTATTATCTCTTAAAATTCTGAATTTAATTAGAAAAAAGTTCTATTTGATTTATAATTAATACATTCATCAAATTTAATATTAACCATGAATCAGATTATCCTAAATGCCAACTGGGAAATAATAAAAGACAGAAAATATTGGAAATCGTGAAATGCGTCTTGTAAGCGATCGTGAATGAAATGACAGAAACGAGCAAGAGAAACATAAGAAAATCGTGAGATAAAACTAACAAATGAACGTGAAAAGTACAACAGAAACGGGCAAATATTTTAATTCTTGAGAAATTTTTTTTTTAAAAATTTAAATATGCATCCCACATGGAAGTATTGATCGAATTTTTTAATACAACAATTACACGTAGAATTGTCATGTGACTGAGCGAACGAATAGGAGGACATTTGTGTTATCCTTTCTAGACTATATATAGTCCTTCGCTTCGCTTGAGTATATAGTAAATTAGTATAGTACGATTTATAAATTTAGTATGTATGACAGACAAATTACCGTAAGATAGTATCATACCGATGTAAAATCAGCAAATTAATCGATCAAGACTTTTTGGGGCAATTAGAATATCCTTTTCATAATAGGTAGATTTATAAACTGTACTGTACGGTAAGTTTTAACAAAAGTTCATACAGTACAGTACAGTACTATAATAAGCGCTGTACTGTACTGTACGAACTTCTAAAATTAAGACCGTACAGTACATCTCTTTTCTCAAAAATAATTTCTTAAATTTGGCTTTATGAAAAGGATTTTATAATTTATCGCACCCTTTTTTGTCACCTGCGTCACACACCTCCCTTTTCATTTTTTATATGTAATTCTTTGTTGTAAAAAAAAAAATCTATTTTTCACACCCAAGTTAAATGTCACATGTTTTAATTTTGCCCGGCATTACGTAATTTTGCCCGCCCAGGGTGCGATGTATCGCGATAAAAAACAAAACACATATTAAATAAATAAATCTTTATCTGTGGTAGTAATATAATATATTGTTCTGGGTTTTCTCGTTAATTCCATTTACGTTCCATGGATTATATCAAGGGAAATATAATAATAACAAGTCCTGACAGACACTTTCCATTTATAAGGAATTAATTATTTCATGATGCATAAACAAAATTGAGGTTTATCAGTATTACCTTATTTTCGAAATGATTCATATGTATTGATCCCAGTGACGATAGCAGTTAGTTGCGTAAATTAAAAATGAAACCGTTTAAAAATTATAGAAATCAGTTAAGAAAATAAATGAAATCATCTCATTTAATTAAATTTATAAATAAGAAATGATTCATCAAATGCACTCGATTGAGCGGACGACTGCCTAAATTATTGATCAATTATTATATTGCCTTAAGAAAATTGGCCAGCATTGGTGTTGAGAATTTCGTGTTCCATGATTTTTTTTTCTTTTAACTCATTCAAAGAACTAGATATAATTTTATTAAAAATCATTCATAATATTCATGATCAAACATGAGCAATAATTCTGCAAAATTTTTATAGGACTTAACAATTAATTAATATTATTTAAGTATATCTATTATTTAACTAAATTTTCTTTTTTGTCATGATTGTCATAATGTAACAGTTCAATTAAATAAAACGGTGAAGAATTCAACATTGAATGTTCGGTTCTAATATCTATTTTTAAAAGCGTATACGATGATACTTTAAAATTATATATAAATTTAATGATTGCATAACAAACGTAATTCAATGTGTGCTGCTGGTAAAACTTGTTAGCGGACTTTCAAGTTCGAATCAAAATTTTATGAAATGATGCGCAGTTTAGTGATAAGAAACGTGAAGCAAATAAATTTTAATAATTAGGTGCTCTATAGACATTATTTACGTAATTTATTTACACTTATGATAAAAAAAAAATGAACCTAGTTACTTTGCGGTTAGATCAAATGGAGATCAAATCCATAAAATCGCAACAAAAATGCCGATTTTGTTTTATTTTTTTAGAATAAAAGATCATCTTTTTATTATGAAATAAAATCATGCGACAAAAGAAATTTTTTTTACCCACCAATTTTTTTCTCTCTAATTTTCTTGGTTGAATTACATTATAAGTAATTCAGTTATATGTTACTAACTGAAAATGTTATCATAACGCGTTAAATGCGTGAGCGTCGTACATATCATGATTATCGACTTCCGTAATGAGCAATTAACCTCATTTTCCCTAATAAGCATAAAATGATTGTTTTTTTTACGTGATTAAATTTCCGTTCAACTCTTTCCTCCTTTTTTTTTTCCTTTAATAATGTCTATTTCAAAATTACCTAACGAATGTTTACAAGAAATTTTTAGTTATATAGATCGAGTAAAAACGTTATATTCAATTATTCTCGTTAATCGTAAATGGTGTCAAAATGGCGTTATACGTTTATGGAGAAAACCTTTTAGGAATAGTATTGAAATTTCAAAACAGATAAAAATCTGTCCAATTTTAATTAATTTTATCATACTTGATAAAGATTTAAATATTAAAGATAAATTGATAAAAGATTATTATAAAAAATTTCAAAAAGAAAATTCGAAACCTTTTAATTACTCGTTTAATTATCCAAGTTTTATTACTGGAATTGATTTGGATCGTATAATTAGAGCTATCACGATATTTACGCAAAAAAATAAGAATAGTCTTTATCGTATACCAGGATATAAAAAAGGCAAGCAATATATATATATATATTTATTTTTATAATGTTTTTTAAATAATATTTAATAAATTTTTTATTTCAATTTTATTTCACTACAGTTTCGAAAATTGATCAAGTTATGACTTTCTTGTTTATAATCTTAAGAGTTATAACGTTTAAAGGAGCAAATATTAAACGATTTATAATCAATCTGAAAGATAGGAATGTGAACATGTTTTTCGATAATGATGATACTTTTGGGAATAAATGGGATATAACAAAGTTTAAACTCGAAAATACTCTTACAACCTTTCTCTCAATGGATGCGACAAAGAGATGCCTTAAAAATCTTAGATATTTTGTATGTGATATTTTAATAGATAAATCGAATATTTTAAAAACTTTAATAGCCACATGCACAAATCTTCAAGGGATTAAGGTACAAGATGATTCTTATAATTTTATTAAAGATACTTTGATATCTTTAATTCAAAATCAAAATAATTTGGAACATTTACATATTCAAGGGAGTTCAAATTCTGAATCTGATCAAAATACTGAATCAAATATTACGGATTTAGTTTTATCATTGGAAAAAAATGCCAGTTCTTACAAGAAAATTTTATTTGAAAATGGTTATATAGATAATGATATAGCATTCAAAACTTTAATGAATTGCAATAATCTTGAAATTTTACAAATTAAAGATTTAAAAATTCCTTACAAAAATTTTGAATTATTGGCTTTGGCAGAATTTCCAAAATTAAAATGTTTGAGTTATATTAATACTGTTATTGAAACTGGAAAACCTTATATAACAAATCCTTTCGTTAGAATTATTAATAATAAAAATATCTCATCAAAATTACAGAAACTTCATTTGGTAGGGTTCGTGAATGTAGAAAATTATAAATTGTTGAGTGCTACGGCGGATAATTTTAAAAATTTAATAGATTTATGTGTTCAAATTACGAGAAAAGAAGAGATACCACTTTTATCTATGATCATGAAGAATTGTTCAATGATGAAACAAATTAGATTAGTAAATCCTTTAACATCTTATAATTTTAAAGAATTTAAGGAATTTATTAGGGAATGGTCGATAGAGAAAAGGAAAAAGATTATAAGATTTGATGATTATGGACTTCATGTTCATATTGAATGGGAGTAGGCAATATGTAGGGTGTAGGAATATGTAGGGTGTAAGGATATGTAGGGGAATAGGGATGGACGCTTTTAAAAAAAAAAATTGTTGCTATTACTATCTTTTTTTTAGCTATAGATTCTTTTTTTTTTTGTTGAAAAATAGAGTTGATTAAACATTTTGTAAATTTTATGTATCTTTTATTTTCTCTTATGATAGGTGATTTCGATATATTAAAGATAAATAATAATAAAGACCATAAAAATGATCGCGTTATCGCGTTAAATTTTAAAAATGAAATTATTTTTAAATTGAATTAAATAATGAAATAATATGGATTATTTAAAAATAATATTATCGATATATTAATAAAAAAAACCGATAATACGCAATAATTTATTACAGAAAATTTAATAATATAAATGAATATTACTCGTGATTTGAAGGAATCATGCAAATACAGGCAATCTAACGTTCAATTTAACGATCACTTAAAACAAATCACATGACATATAAGACAATTCCATCATAAAAATACAATTGAACATAAAAATTGTGATTGCTAAGCAAATGTGGCCATGCTTCCCATCAAAATTAAAAAAAGAGAGATTCTAAGCAAGATAATCAAGAAGGAATACCCAATAAAGAAAGAATTCCATCAAATACCAAAATCTGAAAAACTAAGTATCAATCTCTTGATGGACGCAAAGCTTCATGACGCTTGATTAGCAGTGCCACGAATTGCGGACAATTTTACGAAGGAATACCCAATAAAGAAAAAATCCGTCAAATATCAAAATATGAAAAGCTAAGCATTATAATAATAAAGCGATAATAAAAAATCTCTTGGTGGACGCAAAGCTTCATGGCGCTTGATTTAGCAGTGCCACGAATTGCGGACAATTTTACGAAGGAATACCCAATAAAGAAAAAATCCGTCAAATATCAAAATACGAAAAGCTAAGCATTATAATAAAGCGATAATAAAAAATCTCTTGGTGGACGTAAAGTTTCATGACGCCTCGATCTATTTGATTAGCAGTGCCACGAATTATGGACAATTTTAAAGATTTTATGAAAGCGAGATATCAATGATAAATGATAATATCTCATCATGATATTTTTTTTTACATAGCTATATTTATTTCGCGTGATTCACGGTTTATTATTCTTTTTTTGGTTGATTTCAATAATCTCAGTTATCAAACATATTTGTTTCGCCAAAAGTTCTTGTAAAAAAAAAAGAATAAGGATGCTTCAAGTTTTTTTATTAATGGTTTAATAGTTGATAGTTCCAATAATATCTAAACTATAATATCTAAAATTATAATATCTAAAACTATATCTAAAACTGAAACTATAATATCTAAAATTATAATATCTAAACTATAATATCTAAAACTATAATATCTAAAACTATAATATCTAAAACTATAATATCTATATCTAAAACTATAATATCTAAAACTATAATATCTAAATAAAAAAAATGCTAGTAAATAATATAATTGTCATCATCAAACTCTTCAAGTCTTTTATTAATCATTGAAATACAATGATTTTTGAATTCCTGATTGAAGGTTCTTGGTAATTTTTTCATGGAAGCCACAATACAAGCCATTCCAAGATAACAGTCGCTTAAGTTAGCTGAACTTCTTTCTAATAAACTATAATATCTAAAATTATAATATCTTGATATCTATAATATCTAAACTATCTGACTAAAATATCTAAAATTACAATATTTAAACTATATAAAATATACTTTCAAAAAAATATTTTCTTGAAGTCCCTATCTCTTTATTAATCTTTAGAATATAGGAGAATTCATCAAGAAAATATAATAATAATAATGAAAGCATAATAAAATATTTTTTTGTATAAAAATTATACAATGAAAACAAATGAAATCAATTAAAATTAGGGAAAAACCTTATATAATCTAACCTCAGAAAAAAAATGATTATAATTATTTATTTTTCCCCTTTGAGAAAAAAAAATCTAGGAGATTAAAATTATTTTTTTCCCTTTGGGCCTTGATCTTCTTATTGTTTATTTTAAGAAAACCATATTAATAAGAAATTCAGGAATCCATCTTGTTTTAAGAATGTAAACAGTATTTCATTTCTTTCCATTTACAGTCTTATAAACTGGAGATCCATGAATTTACCTAAGAATAAAATCAAATTTTGATTAAAAAAAAAAAAAAGGAAAGAGAATGATAATTTATATTAAATCTCTCATACCATAGAGCCCTGAAAATCATTATCGAATATGAAATTTATTTATTTTAATTTCATATTATATATTAATTCCATTTTTACAATCTTCATGGAATTGGTGTCGAAAATCTCTCATACCATAGCCTGGATACATTCACCATAGCCTGGATTTTAATTTCATATTATATAAAAATTAGTATAAATATTTTTATATATTTTTAATAAATTTTATTAATTCCTTTTTGATAAATCTTTCAAGGAATTGGCGTCGTTTTTATATCAAAAAAAAAAAAAAAAAAAAAAAAAAAAAAAAAAAATACAAATACAAATGGGCTGATAAATTTACATGTGAATTATTTTCCAAGCCCAAAAAAATCAACAAATAGGTGGCGTATTATTGCGTTTTAATTAACGGATAACAGCCAAATTCTTTTAATAAATTATTGTTTTCAATATATCATCAAATTAATAGGATCATATTTTAGTTATATTCTAAATTATTTTCGTTTATTATATAATAATAATTATAAATTTTAATAATATAATTACAAAGGTACAATGTGATCTAGTCCTTTTTTTTCATCTATAATACTTTTGCAATGCTAATGTAAAAATTCATCTAATAAATAATTTTAAATAATTATATAATTTACAATACACTAGGTAATTTTGACTTGATCGGCGAAGTAGGAGATGTGGGTGTTTGAGGTGTTTGAGGTGTTGGTTCTTCAGGTGATAAATCATCCGTAGTTGGTGATTTTATCCATTTATCTATAATAATAAATAAAATTTTAGCGATATATCTTAAAAAAAAAATTTACTATTTATTTACTAACCTGGTACAGCCGAAAAATATTGATCAATAGAATTCCTAAATCTATCTTTATATTGATCTGGCGGTAAAACTGTGACTTCTTTAGGGTTTCTTCCAATAGTTTTACCTCTATTTTCAATTTTCTTATACCATGTATATGTTCCGATAAAATCTACGATTCCTACTACCAATTCTTTCTTTTCATCATCAACTCCAACCAATAATGAGTAATCCATAATATTTGAATCTGACAGGAATTGTGTATCATTAAGAATCGCTTCTCTTATAAGTTTTTTGGAGTGTGAATGTATTAATAAAAGTGATTTGTATCTTCCTTCAACCCAATCTCCATCCCATAATGTCGCATTATCTTGCGTTTGATCTTTCGTATGGCGTTCTTGGATTCCCTTCAGATCAAATTTCTTTTTTTTTAAAAAAAAAAAATAAAGATAAATATATATTGTTACTACTAAACAAAATAATTAATATTGCTTACTCTTGTTATGGTTTTCTCGAAGAATAAATGTTCCATTACAAGAACATCCATCTTCAAGATAACGTTATTCTTCTTTGTATCTTTAATCTTTATTGTATAAAATCCAAAAATTTTGGCAAGAACTGACGGTTTCTATTTAAAAATATGTGCATATATAATTAAATCAATAATTTCAAAATAACAATTATATTTATTGATCGGAATTATATTATATACATACACTAGGTGGTTTATTCATATAGTCAAAATACTTTGGAGCAAATTTCAATAATGCTTCTTTTTCTCCAGTTCTCCAGGATGATACCATTTGTTTTACAACAAGTCGCTCATCTATAATAAAATTAAATAATTAAAATCTATTTTTCTTTTAAGAGATTTTAAGAGAAAGAACCCAATTTTTTAATTAAAATTACCTTTTGTTTTGAAAAAAGTGCTTGCACTTTTACCACCCGTAACTTTCCATGAATCACATCTGGACAAAGATTCAATACAAATATTTTCAATTCCACATCGACGTCGAAGTGAATCAAATTGTGTTGCATGATAAATCGTGCATGAAAATTTTTTATTTCCATGCATGCCCTCTATAAAAAATACAAGCGATTTATAAATATATAATGACATCAAATTAATGAAAAAAAAAATTTTTTAATGCTTACGATATTTTAAATGTGGACTATCCTTTGGAGATTTCCGATTCCATGAGAACTCTTTAACAAAACTAGCTGGAGAAGTAATTATTGTTTCATCCTTTTTCTTCGGTAACTCTTTCTCGTTCGAAGATTGCTTCTGATGATCTTTCTCGTTTGAAGATTGCTTCTGATCTTTCTCATTCAAAGATTGCTTCTGATCTTTCTCATTCAAAGATTGCTTCTGATTTTTCTCGTTTGAAGATTGCTTCTGGACTTTCTCGTTTTTTGAAGACTGCTTCTGGACTTTCTCGTTTAAAGACTGCTTCTGATCTTTCTCGATTGCTGCTTTTTCAGGATCAACTATTATTTGTGGTTTCTTTTCTTCTTTATCAAGTGGTACTTTTTCGTTGAAAACCTCTTGCTTTTCATTTTCAGTATTTTCATCCTTTGGTTTTTCGGGATTTTCATTCTTTTGTCCAAAAATTGCGCCAAATTTTCCGGCACTTTTAGTTGAAGTGGGTTTTTCTCCGTCTTTCTCTGGATCTTTTTTCTTATCTTTGCCGCTAAGTGACAAATTAAATGGATTCATACCACCAAGAGATTCAATTCCATGAGAAATTTTATCACCTATTCCATTTCCTTGTGATTCTTTTACAAGTTTTCGTCGAATACTTAGACTATACTGATCCATATAATCATCACCACTATTTATCGTATCATGAAGAGTAGGACTTGTTAACGAAGAAATTAATGATGAAAATGAATTGGAAACTTGAGGTTGTTGATGAGGTTCAGACGTGGGGGTTACCGGAGCTGATTGTGTAATTGATAACCTAACATTTTGTCGCATAAGAGACAATTCTTTTAAATATTCCCTTGAGCTGTAAAAATTTTATAGAAATACATGTCAAAAATTAATATTTTAAATCTAAATATACATGAATATACATTTATTAATACACTTACTTAAAATATTTACCTTAATGCCAATGCGATAATAGAAGTAGGCTCATCTTCTCTAACTATAATAGGAGATCCAGGGAAAACATGACATATGTTTGAACTACATATGCGGAAAATACAATATTAATTTAATTATTTTATTTTGTTAATGAAATCCAATAAATAATAAAATTGTTCTTCAAAGCTTACTTTACGTATTCCGGTTCACCTAAATCAATATTTGAAAATTTCTCCAAATCTTCTTCACGAACGTGCTTTTTTTGCCAATCCAATAATCGTTTTTTTGTAGAATTAATCCTTGTAACCAATAATTTTCGTACATCATTCAACATCGTAGCTTTTGATTTCTTAAGAATATCGTAAAGTTCAAATTCATCTTTACGAAAATCTTTCAACATTTCGCCTAACATTTCAAGATAATTATAATCTTGTTTTACTTCACCCTCGATTTCATTCCCATCAACTTTAATGTCAACCCATCCACTAGTACTAGTTTCTTTCCTATGAGCAGACAAAGAATCAAAATATTCTTCTAATGCCGTAATATGTTGTTTAACGACACCATAAAAATATGTAACTTCTAATCTCGTTTCATTAAGTAATCTATCCGAATCCTCAGCGTCAATAGTGAAAAGTTTGTCGATATTTTCAGCTTCACCTAAATTATTAGAAATTTGTGCTTCTTCTTGACTTATTTGCAATTTCGGTAATCGAATCTCAAATAAGTCGACATGTTCATATTCAACCTTCACAATCAAATTATCCCTACGGAAATATCTAACGACAGATTCTCGTGATTCTGAATGTTGACATAAATTTTTATAGCAAAACTCTTCGTTATAAAATAGAAGTTCAAGATATTTTCCAAAAGAATAAAAATAAGTCGCATGTGACATTTGAATCATTTGAGTTTTTGCTGAACAAATTTTACATTCTGTCCACATTAAAATGACATTAGATGAGGAATTTGATTTTGAATCCGAAACTTCTTCAAGATTTATACTAATCCTTCCCGTGTTGTGAGTGTAAGTAGTAATATGATCAATTCCAGGATGGTCGCATGATGAATCTTGGCAAACTTCATTAGCTTGATCACAAAACCAATTAACCATTTCTCCAAGTGATTTATCAACGTGATCATTGTATTTGTTATAGTATTCTAAAGTAATTATTCTATGATTATGACAAGGTGATATTGAAGTCGGTGACCAAAATCTTGAATAAGAACATGATAATGACTGATGTTTGAATATACCATTTAATGAATTATCATTTGTCATCAAATATGTAAGTCCTGAACGAAAATCCAGAGAAAGTTGATTTGACTTAGAAATAGCTGCATAAGTTCGGTATTTTCCAGTAGGATTAACACTTCCATTTGAGAATTCATTAGCTAAATCCAAGACATCCTTTGCCATATAAGATTTGAACGTTCCATCCAAATTTGTATGAAGACGAATTTCTTTTTCTTCCTCTCTTAAACGCAATAAAAGATGCGGAGGAGGAAATTTCACACCCGGAGATATTGACAGTATAGTCTTTTCCATTTGACGAATTGTACTTCCAAATTTGTTTGTATTATTCAAATTTATCACATCATCGTCATCATCCGTATTTGTTGTATTTATTGAAGTTGATGAAATTGTTGATGATTTTGAAATTGAACTTCTTTTTGTCGATAATCTTCTCATCAATGAATTAGGCTTATCAAGTTTATCAGGTTTATCATGCTTATCGTGCTTTTCATTCTTATTATGTTTATCATGCTTTTCATGTTTTTCATGCTTTTCATGCTTTTCATGCTTTTCATTTTTTTCATTTTTTTCATTTAAGGATTTCATCATTTGCTCCTTAATACTTGATACGTTTTTATGTTTCATCAACCACCCAAGCCACGAAGATTTTGAAGTACGCCTAGAATTTCTTAGCGCATTTTGAACGTCTTCAGCATCATGATTATCTTTTGAAACAACTCTCAAAACAGAGTAATCCCTGAATAAACAAACCTCGAGTCTTAAATTACAAACGACATAAACCATTAATTCTAATATTTCGTCTATTCTATGGCCATATTTTTTAGAACCTTTTAATATTATGGTTCCACCTATCCAATGTTTCATTTCATCATTTGTAAGTTCTGATCCTAATTATTATTATTTTTTTTTAAAAAAAAAACTATGACATTAGCATTCAGTGAGTAATAAATATTATAAAAAATAATTAAAACGATTACCTTCATTATCTTCATGTTTAAATAAATCTTCACCATCAAAATAATTATAAACGAAATGAGAATCTGAAATTCTCCCACCTTCTTCTTTTTTTAATTTTATAACAAATTTTGGAACATTTTTTAATTTTTCTTGATTATCTACTACATTGATATCATCATCTTTATCTTTATCATCTTTTTTATCTTTTTCATCTTTCTTATCTTTTTTTTTATCACTTTTATCATCAATTTTTTCATTATTTTTCTTTTGTGAAGAAATAATTTCATTTTTTGTCATTTCATATTGATATAAAACTTCAATAGCTTTAGGAACAGTATCAGAAACATCGAATATAATTCCCAAAATAATTGATTCCCAAGGATCAGGATTAACAGAACAATTATATAAACTTTGTTGTAATATTTTACGTATATGACCTATTGAAATACTATCTAATTGTAAATCGCTTTTACCTGAATTACCTATTGGTAAAGCAGGTAATGGTTTATATGAAGGATTAATTTGTCTTGTTGTTGCCATTTTTTTTTTTTTTTAAAAAAAATTATATTATTTTATTAATGATAAAATTACAAGAAAAAAAAAATTTTTTTTTTCTTATGGGAATTTTTTTCAGAACTAAACGAAAAAAAGGAAGAAAAAAAAATTTGGAATAATAAGTAAATGGTACAATGATAGTTTTTAAATAGTTATACAAAACATAATTGAATAATGAAAATTTGAAAATTTGTAAATGAAACTTGAATAAAAACAAGTAATTATGGAAATTAAAAAAAAACCCAAAAAAAAAAATAATAAAAAAATTCAAATTTATATTTTTTTTTTTGAAAATAATGCACTATGTAGGTCAAAAAGAGTTGAAGATCGTACTTAAATTAACAAAAACTGTTATAAATGGACATTGTATATGACGATAGCATTACATTTAAATTAGTCAATTGGTCCCATGATGTTTGTAAAAATCAGCGAGTATGGTAACACATAATAAACCATTTCAGGGTCGTAAACATAAATACTGTACGATGATGGAACTTGTCGTTATTGTATTACTACATATGAATTTATTGAAACAATTTATTAGAATTTATTAGGATATTCATAGTTGTTTTTTAACGTTACATTAGTTATGTATAATGGCGCAGCATTTGTATACACACGTGAAAATCAAGAGAAAAAAAATATATTTATACTACGGGAGTTAATTAAATATTTCGTCACATGTTGGAATCAATTTTTGATCTTTTACATTTATTATTTCCTTGTTGTATATGTTCAACAGGTCGTTTCTTTCCATGTTGTTTCAAACTAGAAAAATGCAAAGAGTAAGTACAAAGGTAATATGAATAAGATGCATATTCATTTTGTAAAACAAACGATTACTTACTATAATCCGCAAGCATTACAGAGTAATCTACCATGATCATCTCTTCTCCATGCTGGAGATTTAGTGGTATTACAATTTACACAAGCATTTCTTGCCGATATATTTGGATTAGTTAAAATTTCAAAAATTTTCGGATGATAATTGGTTGCAGCAGCAATTTTATCTTCGAGTTCCCATTGTTTTATAAGTCTTTTTAAATAAAGGTATTTTACGCGTCATGATTATATTTAAGAAAAATATTATATAGAGGCAGATTTCTATTACAGGAATAAGTAACTTACGAAACTGCTTTATCAATAGGTATTAAACCTGCGATAACAAAATCTACCACTGTTAGATCATACATCCATTCTTCGTATACAATTTCTTCTTGTTCGTCATTAATTTGAGACATATTTATAATTTGCGACATATTTATTTAAAGTTGTAAAAAAAATTTGAAAGTAAAATTTACTAAACTAAATGGTATTTATAAATGAGATTTTTATAAGAGAAATATTTGCGCGATATTTTAATAATAAAATTTGGTAATTAGCATTGAAATCTCCCTTAATCTTACAAGAAAAAAAGATGCCCAAACCAAATAAGGATAAATTATATAGGGGCTTTCTTATAGAAAAAAAAAATTAATTATTAGGCTTTGATCGAAACCCTGTTGCAGAAAGAGAAATACATAATTGAATTTGTTATTTGTTTGGTTTTATTATTAGAAAAATTTGATTTATTATTAGAAAATCTTTATAGAGATAACTACTTATTGTTAATTGTTTCTTTATCGCTTCTTATTCGTTAATTTTTTCAAAGTGATTAGGGATTGTTTATCGTAATATCATGTGATATGAGATCATCCCTTATTCAGAGTAACTTCTTTTGTTAAAATGACAATTTGGGGTTTAAAAAGTAAAATGCCTATAATAATAATAATATATATAGTATATCATTTTACCATTTTCAATTGTATTCAAACGCTTGATGAGACGTTGAAGAAAGAATCTTATTGGACCATAAAAAAAATTCTTTGAAGCACTATTTAGGTATTTTCTAAAGAGCATCTTTTAGCCAAGAAGAAATATTAGCTATAAATAAAAATTAATATATAATAAGTTAAAACTTTTTAATTTTCAGAATATTAACCTTATTTATTTTAACATTTAATACTTATTACTATTATTTTTTTTAATCCTTCTTTTTTACTCCTGGTCTGCACTGTAAATCTTTATTATTATATGTAATAAGAAACATTCCTTAAAATGAGCCAACTTTTTTTCTCATATATTTTTTATGCTTAAATTATAATAAAACAAATAGTCGTACATGTGGCCAACAGGCTGGTAAGGCAGGCTTCGTTGAACTGACAGAGTCACAGAGTGAAGTGAATATAACGTAATAACTCGTGTATTATTATAATTTTGTACACAAAATAAAGAATTTGAAATTCGGTACTTTTCTAATTATAACAATAGAAAGAAAATGTGTGTACTGTGTAAATGAGTACGAAGTATTCCGTAATCGCGTTAGTCCGAGCAAATAATTACATCAACATACTTTTTTTATTCAACAATTTATCTAAAAAAATTGAATTTCCGGCCGATGACAACCCAAAAATAGAATTAATCACTGTGATAATAACATATGTAATATGCAGTGTTTCTGCATAATTTATTATAGATCTGTTTGATGTACAGATTTATATGCCTATTACGATCAAATTCGAAACTCTTCTGCATTTTATATTGTTTGTCATATCTGTTAAGTCAAACCGGTCCAATTCTCTTTCATTCTGAACTTTTTAATAAAACAAAAAAAAAAAAAAAAAAAATTTTCCCAACCTTACGCTGTGCGTTTTCCTTAGATATCCGATAAACCTTTACTTATCGAACAATAATATTCAAAGCTTGCATACATAACTTCTAAAAAAGGAAAAATTACAGTAATTCATCCAATATTCTTTCTTTTTAAATAATTTTTTTTTTTTTTTATTTATTTCTCTTCAATTTAACAACGAAATGCTTGTAGTAAAATAATATTAACTATTTTATTTATTTATTTTCTTTTTTTTTAAAAAAATTTAGTTTTAGAAAAAGTAGATAATTAGTTTTTAATTATTATTATTTTTTGGATTTTGTGAGGGAAATTTTTTTTTTTTTGAAATCTACGAAAAAAAAAAAAGAAAAATGACTTTGGAAACTGTATATGCAATTCATTCATTTGAAGCTGAAAATGATGATGAAATACCTTTCCAAGTAGGAGAACCTATTATAATATTAGAAAAAGATGATTTATATGGGGATAGTTGGTGGAAGGTGAGAAAAAAATTATTTTCTTTGTTGATTTATTATCACGTGACTTTTTATTAAAATTAATTTTGTTTATTATGATTTCTTAATTTATTTTACCCGTCTTTTTATGATAAAAAAATAATATATTAATTTATTTTACATTTTACTTTATAATAGGGAAAAAATATTCATGGACAAATTGGTCTTTTCCCTATGACTTATATATCATATGAAAGACCCACTCCAATAAGTCCTGTAAATTTATCTTCATTTTCAAATAATGATAGTTCTAAAGATTTACCTGCTACTCCAACATCTGCTTTGAATATGCATGAATCAGATTTGGATTTACCTTTACCACCTTTTAGGATGCCAAGTCCATCTATTGACGAAACGATAGATGATATACAAGATAAATTACAAAGGATGGCGATGAAAACTGAAGAAGAACAAATATATCAAGATCAATTAGTTCAACAAAATCATATTTGGTCACCAAAGAATGGACGTTCTAATAGTAAATTATTTATGGTTTCCTCTTCAGGATCTAGTTCTACAAGTAGTCGTATGTCTTCTACAGGAAAACAACAAAGTTCTCCTCATTCACAATTTGAATCGGTTGATATTACAAAGAAGGTTGAAACTCCTTCCCCTTCAACTGCCGTTAATGGAAGACAACCGGGTGGGTATCCGCATCCAGTATCTTGGAATGTAGAACAAGTTTGTATGTGGTTATCGAAAAAGGGTTTTGAAGCAGAAATACATCATTTTGCTGGTAAGTAAAAATCATTTACTTTTTTTTTTTTTTTTTTTTTTTTAAAACTTAATAAATTATTGATTTTTTTTTTTAAAAAAAAAAAAAAATTATAGAGAATGATATTACGGGTGATATACTTATCAATTTAAGTATATCAACATTATTAAAAGAGTTGAATATAAGTTCGTTTGGTAAACGTGTTCACATAATGAACGCTATTAATGAACTTAAACGTCAATTTTCTCTTGGTAGTGAAAATGATGACGTATCAGATTTGGAAGAATATCATAATACACAACCCTCATCATTCTATCAACAGAATAATATATATTCTCACCAATCTATGGATTCGACTGTAAATTTACATCATCATTATGGTGTCCCATCAAATCTTTCATTATCGCAGTTACCACAGGTTAATGAATCATTTGGTTTTCCTGATTCTCCAAGGGCTTCTACTACCAATTTGACAAAAAATTATCCACCTACATATTATACTCATTCTCAGCGAGTCGATGATGCAGAAGGCGCAAACATTGAGGTATGAAAATTATAGTATTCTATTTTTATCTAGAATCAATATGTTTTTTCAAAGATAAAGACACTTATTATCTATAATCTTTTATTAAAATCTGTCATCATCTTTTTTTAAAAAAAGACGGTTAACCCGAAATCATCCAATAAGAAGGAAAAATTATTTGCGAAATTAAATATTGGAAAAAGAAACACGAATCCGCCTTTAAAGATCAAAGATAAACCACGAACAAGTTCTACGGGAGGATGGGACTTTAATAAGGTAAGCGTAAGCTTAATATTTTAGCTTTTATAGATTTATTTAGATGATTGTAAATAAATATACACTTTAGGATGAAGAAAAAGTAGAATTAATGAAAAATAAAAGAGTGAAAAATAGATCAGATGGGGATGAAGCTTATTTATCATTAGAGGAACAAGAGAAAAGTCGATCATTAAGTTTTATACAAAATAGAAAAAAAAGGCCTACTATCATGGTAACAATAAATTTAGAAGTAAAATATCCTTTTGTTCTGATCGGAATGTTTCCCTTATTTTATATTTGTAAATAGGATCGAAGTAGCTTGGTCGGAAGTCAATTAGGCCTTCCTAAACGGTCCTTAGAGTAAGTACTAGATTCATATTCATAATGATTTATGTTATTAATAAAAATTTTTTAATTTTTTGAATTTAAATTTTATTTTTTTATTTTTATTTTTTTTTTAGTATGGAAAAATTTCAAAACTCAAAACCTAATCCTTCTCCTTTATCTGGTTCTAGAAATACTAATTATTTTTTTGAGAATATTGATAATAATGGGTATTTGAATGAAGAAACGTTTAAATCAATCGGAACACCAGATTATAGTGGATGGTTGAAAAAACAGGGAGATAAATATAAGACATGGAAGTCACGCTATTGTATATTAAAAGGGGTTAATCTTTATTATTTTAAAAATGACAAGGTAAATTTGATATTATATGTATGTATAACTGTTATTGAATATTTTTTTGATTTTATTTTTCCTTTTTTTTTATTTAGGAGATTGAATCATCACACGTGAAAGGTTATATTAATTTAACTGGATATCGTATAATTCCAGACGAAAATTTATTACACGGAAAATATGGATTCAAGTTAGTTCACGATGTAGAAAAATCACATAATTTTGCACATGAAGAAGTAGATAAACTGAAAGGTTGGATGAAGGCTATGATGAAAGCCACAATAGAAAGGGACAGTAAAGGTATTTAATGGAAGATATTAATTCGTTTATCTTAATTTTATAAATTTATATTAAATTCTTATAAATTAATTTTATTTATAGCCCCAGTTATTAGTTCAAGTAATATAGCAACAGTCCCACTTTCAGAGGCACGTAAATTGACACCACGTCCACCAGATCCAAGAAGACCTTCTGTTAGCTCTGCTGCAATAAATAAAGTTACATCACCTATACTTCGACCAATTTCTCCATTGTCACAAAGAACGGGATCTCCAATACCAACAAGACCTTTATCACCTGCATTTCAAACAATTCATAATTCAACATCACCATTAATGAGACCATTCAGTAATAATAGGTCAACAATGGGATTCATTTAAAATAATTCGTTTCTTTTCAATAAAAATTAGTAACAGCCATGATTTCTCACGCATCATATATTTATACACACCTTTATAACACATTTAATGTTTATAAAATATGGTTATTATTATGGGATTAAGTGTTTTTTTTTTATTTTATAGATATATATTTTAAAGTGAACTCAAGGACTATTAAGTAATATACTATATATTTATTTTTTAACAAAAGTATTAATGAACTTTGATAATATAACAAATAGTGTTAACAGGAATAATATTTTAGAAGGTCTAATTTTTTTTTAGTTATTAAGTGGTAATTTGGATTTATATATTTGTAATTGTAGTAATTTAGTTGAAGAAAAAAAGAGAAAAACACAGGACAATGAACATATCCGATATCTGAAAAAAAAAATAAGAAAAACAAAATATTCATAAAAAAATTTAGAGCATTAATAGTACGCGTAGAAGTAGAATTTATATAACTTTTCAACCGAAATTTTTAATTTTTATGCAAGAATTAATTGTATTAATTACGCAGTTAGATTAGTTATTTGTATTTGACGATGAATTTAGTGAATTATATATATATGAGAATGAATATATATATATATATTTTTTTTTTTTTTATTAAATATAAATGAATTTTTTAATATTGTAATATTAATGTTTTACGCACCCTGCATAAAATGCATTATTATGCTTAGTAGAAGAGTTTAGAGTTAGTACAATGTATCACGTCGGCTTATTCTGGGAACAATGTTTTTCTCGTAAAAAATTGCTATTCGTCGCATTTTGCGGGGGGTGCGTATAACCCTGATTAATGATAGAAAAAAATGAGAAATATATCGAATTATATTATACCTGTCTCTTATACACATCTAGATGTGTATAAGAGACAGGTATAACCCTGATTAATGATAGAAAAAAATGAGAAATATATCGAATTATATTATACTATCGATATATATATATATATAACAGATAAAGATTCCTTTAAGAATACAAAAACTTTGATAATAATCTGTTTTGAAAGAGTAAAGATCGATAAAGTATAACAAAATTTGTAATTTAATCATGCAATCATCACGACCGTGACGTTTTTTAAGATGCATATGCATTGTACATAGTCAGTAACTTCTATAATTGTTAAGATCATCTTTTGCTAAAATTATTCAATTTTTCTGTATAACAAAATCATTAATGAAAATAATAATTATTATTCTTTTTCTATTTATTCTTATATACCTTTCATTCGATAAAACCTAAAAAATTATGTAAAGAAATTTTATAACGTATCATGGACGTCTCGACATGCATTTATTTTTTCTGTATATTAATGAAGCGAGTCATATTTACCACTGGAAAAAATCAAGGCTGACCAAATATCACTGTAAAACATTTTATCTGTGATTTCTGTAAAAACTCCGTGAATATGATACATTTACGGAAATAACATGGAATGAAAAAACACGGAATATTAAAACATGAAATAAATTTTTCATAGGGTACAACTTGCTTCTATAGATACAATCCCTTTACCAGAGGATCGAGATGCCTTTGATTCTCTCTCACATACATCTATCTATCAGAAATCTAGTGGATGACAAGTTTATTATTTTGAATTTTAGCACTTTTTTATAACATATTTTAATTTTCTTATAGTTTGAGCGTTTAAATGTCAAAGTTATTGAGTTCTAAATTCCAGATTTTTTTAACCTATCGCACGGCCCTAAACCGATCAATAATCATCGTACAAATTATTTGAAATTCAATATCGTACCGCACTTTTGAGAATACCCCTTCATGTAAAGTCGTCAATATGTCAAGTATGTAGTAAGTAGATCTAAAAATTTGCATATTTTTAATAGTTATTATAAATCAAAAATAAAATTTCATATTAAATCCTTCTAGAATTAATGGTGTACCCGGGTTATGCGGTATGGTAGTCTATGCTAGCCGTAAGATAATTAGGATATTGCATCCACTTGGATAAGCGATCAATTAAGTCAACACATATAGAGGTTAATAATAAAACATGGTTTTCCTAGAGCACTGAATATATGTAATAACTTACAATGGTGGCAATTGTTCAGTTCGATTTGATAACGGTGGTTGATTTGTTGATGATGGTGGTTGTTCGGTTTGACTTGAATTTGATATTAAACGGGCAGAGAATTTTCATAATGGATAGGGTTAATAATAAAACATGGTTTTCCTAGAGCACCAAATACATGTAATAACTTACGGTAATGGTGGTGATTGTTCAGTTCGATTTGATAACGGTGGTTGATTTGTTGATGATGGTGGTTGTTCGGTTTGACTTGAATTTGATATTAAACGGGCAGAGAATTTTCATAATGGATAGGGTTAATAATAAAACATGGTTTTCCTAGAGCACCAAATACATGTAATAACTTACGGTAATGGTGGAGATTGTTCAGTTCGATTTGATAACGGTGGTTGATTTGTTGATGATGGTGGTTGTTCGGTTTGACTTGATGAATTATTAACTAAATTAAAAAATAAAAAAAGTTAAAAAGAAAAAAAAATTAGCGCGACAACTTGTAAACGAGCGATAAACAACTCGTGAAGAAAATAGAAGATAAAAGGAAACGAGTGTAACAAACTCGTAAATGATAAACAACTTGAAGAGTGACGAGCGAAGAAGAAAATTAGAGATGAAAAAAAAGAGGGATGTAGGTTTACCTCGATTCATTCTCCGAGATTCTTGTCTCATTTTTCTACTATTCTTACTATGTCTATTGTTTTTTCTAATCTTAGGCATTTTTTTTTTTTGAGAATTTTTGAGAATAACGATAATGACAACGTTTTTACTTTTTAGATAAAGAAGACCTAAAAGAGAAGACGAAAAACAAGAAAAAAAAGAAGATAAAAGATATACAGTCAACTCTCGATATACCGAAGTCGCCGTTCAAGACTAAAACTTCGGTATATAGTGATCTTCGGTATATCAAATTTTTTTATATACCGAAGTTTATATAATTTTTTTAGAAAACTTCGTTATATTAAGATTAAAATCATGTGACTTTATTATACTATGAAAATCGTTACATATTTTACGTTTAACAAATTTTACAAATTACTTGTTGCTAATCCAATTATCTAACGTTCATATCTTTTAAAGCAGCTAAAGCAGCTAAATATTTAACTTCAAAGTAACGTTAATACTGAAAAATAAAAATGAGAGAATAAAGTTGCGAAAGTTACGCAAATTAAACATCATTTGATCATATGATTTTGATCTTCGGTATAACGAACTTTTTTTTATTATATACTATTATAAACGGTAAAAATGAAAACTTCGGTATAATGTTATATAAAATTTTATAGTAAAATCAGTATATCAAAAGATTTTAATTATTAATGAAAATGGTTATACAAAAATCTTCGGTATATGGTGATCTTCGGTATATCGTGGCTTCGGTATATCGAGAGTATACTGTATTTATTTGTCCGAAGCGTAGCTGAGGAATGTCTGTCCGCACGCGTGATTAACCAATAAGATGTATGTATTGAATTATTATCACGTGATCAGATTTTTTCGGTGACTCACGTGATTAATATTATAAATTAAGCTTTACAAATAAAATTGTTCTTGAAATATAAGTATAATATCTATTGTATAACAAATAACAAAATAAATAATTGTTCTTTTGTCGCTTAAATTTAGTGTAAAGTTTATATTTGTAACTGTTGTATTCGTGTATTTACTAATTTGACAAATGGATCCGTCCCCTTCGTGATACCCTCCGAAAACGTAAAAACAGAGAAAATGAAACACCTGATCAATGGCAACAATTCTCTCCCTTCTTCCTTTTACTCCTTCCTTTTACCTATCTATTTTCTCTCCTTATTTTACCCTGTCTCTCTTCACGTCTGGAACATGATAGAATGTCTAAACGTATTAAAAGAGCGAGTGAAAATGCTCAACAACGTGAGAAGCGACTAAGTATTTATCGTGTACGAAAACAAAATAGACGCCTTATTGATCGCAATAATCGCTAGGATGCTGCTCGTTCGCAAGTCGTCGGCGACCATTGTCTTCCCGAATCTGACCGAAAACTCTTACACAATTTTCGTTCAAAGATTGATAAGTTGTCTAATAATCTCTGTCCCGTATGCAATGAATGTTTCCCTTCCATCGAGATTGTGCAAGGTGAATGTCACCACTGTCACATGGAGGAATGAAGTCAAAAAAGTTCTCTGCAAAAAAAATAACATGGATCCCGGTAAAGTGCCTTAAGAATTACGAGGCCTTATCCAAATAGAAGAGATGTCGCTCAAATTTTTATGATCATCTCCGTTTACTGTCTTCGTGGTAGTTAATACGCATATCGTAGTAATGTGATAAATTTCCTCCAGGATGTACAGGAATTTGCTACACATCTACCTCACTGTCCTTCGTCACTTGATGCTCTTGTTGTGCGTCGTTGCTCTTCTGATGTTAGACATTTAAAGATTTCAACGTACGTCGTTTCGTGGTATCTTGTGCTCTTTACTGGTTGAAAAACAACAATCGTTATTATCCGAATATTGACATTGATGAAGAAATTTTGGGATCATTGCCTGAAAATGGACCGCTCGATGATCAGATTCCCCGACTTGAAGATATAGGTGATGAAATGTGTGGTGAAATGCGTGGTGAAATGCGTGGTGAAATTGATGGTGAAATTGATGAGGTCAATGACTGACTCCGTACTTAGTAATTTTGTACCTGTTCCCATTCCTATTCCTAACGAAGAGAGAGCTGTTGCCGATACTCTTGTTCGATTGCAATCAGATACAGATCCTGTCATGTGGCCGCGTATAGATGGTGTTCCTGTAAATGAATTTCAAACACCTGGCTACATTGCTCGTGACTTTCCAACTTTATATCCTACTGGTGCTGCTGATCTTCGCTCTGAACGTATAAGAGATGTAAAGCTGGCTGAGTATTTTTTACACTTGCTCAAGTATAAAGATGGCCGATTTGCGCATCATGCTCGCTGGCGTCACTTTGCTTTGAACTCGCAAATGCGGTGGAGAGCACTACAAGAAGGTAGAGTGTACATTAAGGCCGTTCCAACTTGATTATTTGTTTAACGTCCACCCCTCTATTTTTTTAAAAATTTGAGATCTAATAAACACATATTATTAAATACCCCCTCTATTTTTGAAAAAATTTAAAAGCTAATAAACATATAATGATAAATAATCCCTTCTGAAATTTTCAAATTTTCCTATGTTTATTTATTTAGTTTGTTTAACTTAAGCCCCCCTCCCCCCTTAATTTTTTCAAAAGGCCTGGACGTTAAACAAACAATTAAGTTGCAACAGCCTAAACAAAATTTGAATGTCCAGCAGTGTATCGTTGAAGATTTACAGAAAATGCTTGAACATGATAGTCATATGGCAGACCGTATCGTACATCTCGTCAGTTTTGGTTCAGACGTCAATTTGAATTGTCGGACATGATTAAGCAGTTAAGGGATGCTATTTTTTACTTTAGCGCCGCCGATTTTCATTGGCCTGATCTACACGCCTTGATGCCGCATGGTCACTCTCTGGACATGGATATGTTAACTGTACAGGATACGAACAAATATAAGCAGAAAGACTTAATCGACAATCCTCATATTGCTGCTTGGTATTTTGAGAAACGCTTTAAATTATTATTTGAAAAAGTGTTGGTCCCAAAATGGAACCTCAAGGATTGGTAGTTCCGTTTCGAGTGGCAGCATCGCGGAAGCACTCTACACGGTATTGCTAAAAGAAAAGACGCTCCTGTTATTGATTGGAGTAAAATGAAAGAAGATGAAGAATTGATGAATAATGTAATACAATACCTGGATTCGTTGGTCATTACGATTAATCCTGGTCTTAACGTGCCATTCCCGAACGCCATCCAAGTTCCGAAGAGCTGCAGTACTTACAGGATTATGTCGAATTATTTCAGTATACTGAATTAAAGAAAAGTGATATTTTAAACAATAAAAACATTGCTTATTAATTACTTAATTATTTGTACATCCCTTATTAATTAGTATTGGTTAAAAGTAAATATTTGAACAAACGATCTCAAAAAATTTATTTTATTTAATTTTTAATCATTACGTAGAATTAATTACCTTGCGGTAAAAACTTTACTAATATTTGTAAAGCTAACTAGTAAAAGAAATTGTTGTAATTCTTACTAAATTATTTTATATTAAATGATCAAGAACTTTGCAACTAAAGGAAACGATATGGAATTATTTCATTTTTTATCTACTAGTCTTCCTATTAAAAATTTCTTCAAAATAGAATAATTATAAAATAATATACTGTAATTAACGTAGATACCAAGTCTATTAAGTAATTAAATTCTCGTAAATATTTTAAACAATTTATATATTTCTATTACAGAAATCGATTTGAGGGAACAATTTAATTTTGGTTGATTCAAGATATTTTCAAGTTTCACTAAGGTATCGCTGATTTCATTTAATCTATATTTAAATAAAAAAATGCCTCTTCCGTGAAAATATCAGACAATTTAAATCCAAGATCAGTAACGATAGCAAGTACACTAGGGCAGGTGTTATTGGAGAGAATAATATTAAAAAAGCAACTTGCATATTAACATCGTTACAAATTCATGATAGCCGATTTCTTTCTACATAAGTACTAAATCCGGATGAATAAATATTGCTCTGGCTACAACGTTTAATTGACGACTGTTTTCGTATCCATCTTTTGGCGAATACTCTTCATATGCTCTTGCTTGCATTAATTGAAAATGTACTGTATCTTCATAAGTAGGTTTTGGACGAGGAGAAACCATTTTATAGATAATTAAATCTTTTATATTTTGAAATAATTTTTGAGGAGCGAAATTAATAACGAGAGGGCCTGCGGATAAGAAGTGAAATAATTCCATGTCGTTTCCTTTAGTTGCAAGTTCTTGATCATTTAATATACTATAACCTTCAGTAATTAGCTTAGTAAAAATTGGTAAAGGTAGATTACTAGCCCATGGTGATTGTAATTTTTTTTGAAAAGCTCGAATTCTATCGAAGTCAACTTATTCACGTTATGTTCTATTTTAAGTTCGATATTTTCCTATCATAGTTTCCGAAGTGCATCAATAGGCGTTGAACGAAATAACGAGATAAAATGCTTTTCTTGGGAGTAATGCTTGAATTACTTTTGGCGTTATGAAGCTATTTCCGAGTCTCACCGCATGGAAAAGTGCGTGTGCACGGCCGTATTCATTGATAAGCCACTCAGCACGTGAGTGTGTTTTGATATAGTATATTGGTAAAGGAGTGTGCACAAACTTAAGAACACTGTACCCTAAAAAAAGTGATATCATCTCTTGTGTAAGGTATAGGGATGGCAACGGTCGGTCATGGTCGGTCATCGGTCGGTCATAACCGGTCAAGAACCTTTGACCGACCGACCGACCGATATCGGTCACGGTCATGACCGGTCATAACCGGTTAATGACCGTGACCGTTGCCATCCCTAGTAAGGTATAAAAACTATGCAGCCACTCTACGAGCTAAATATCGAATTTTTTATTATTATTTGGCTGCGGCATCTACAGACTTAGAAAGATATGCGGCTCGCCTTTTATTATTTAAGAGAAGCTATGCAATAAAAAATTTTTTTCCTTGTGAATTAAATACCATTCTAATTAATTTATAAACAAATTGTGATAAATTGCTTTCATCACATCATCACATTTACACATTAACTCGGGAAAATTTTACTCAGCGAAACTCGTGATTTTACCGGATACTTCGGAGTTTCTTTACCTAATATAGATAATCTGTATCACTCAGATGCATGTGAATTCTTTAAATATTTCGTGCATTAATTTATGGATTGAAATTTCGATCGTACAAATTTTTAAATAAATGAATATTTCTAGTTCTTAAATTATCATATTTGTCACGTAAAAGCCTTACTTATAGTTGTTATAGTCGAAATTTAACGATAAATTGGATATTCAATATAATTATTGGATATTTTCGATTTTTACTACGACAGGATCATCGCTATAGGTTGTGGTTTCTTCAACAGGATCTTTTTTGTCAACAAGATCACACTCATCAACAATTTCCTTGTTTTCCTTGTCTTCCTTCCTTTGTTGTAGATCTCGATTAATCTCTTCCATTTAGCTTTATCTTCTTCTGACAAGAGTTTCCATGAATCAGAAGCCATTTTGCTTAATTCAGTCATTTTTAATTTTTTCTGTGCCTTTTCCCTCATATCATTACGAAATAAAAAGAAAGGGTTTGATTCTCGTTTTCTTTTTTTCAATACTTTTAATGTTTCCGACTGAAAAGAATACTGAAATACGCGTAATTCCGCCATATTTGTGATTTTTCAAAAATAATTAAATAAGGTTCGATTGTAGGAAAATGAATTATGAGAAATATAATATATAATAGAAAATGAAAAGTCGAGATCTTTATATATATATACAAGCAGTCCTCGCGAAAATTTCAAGAGTATCAAAAAAACAACAAGGTCAAAATAATCATTTATCACCATGCGACTTTATTTTTTTTTACCAAAATCTGATATATTAAAATTTTAATTGGTAATGTTTATCAGATGTCCAAACCTTTTTCATTTTCCAAAATTATGATAAAATTACAATTTAACGCCAATTTTTGAATATTTATTTACATTTGGGCTGTAGTTTTGTAGACTATGGAGAATATTGGAGCTTCTTTTTAGCCTAATTAATTCCCATTTAACAAGATTTTTGAACGCATATTATATGCGCTATTGAAGTTTATGTTGATTAAAATTTCAGCGTTAAAGCTTTCATAATTTACAAAGTAAGTAACCATTGATGGGAAATTTTATCCGACACCGCGGGAGAATTCTTTTTACTTATTGAAATTTCCAAAACAACGCAACTATAACTTTTTTTTTATTTACTTAATAATTCAGAACAATGAAAGTATTTGATTAGTATTGTTTTTCTCGCCGGATGGACCTATTATGCAAAGTCGGCGTATACGGCTTTAAGCATTCATTTTGTCCTTCAATTTAAAGGGAGATACGAAAAAAGGAAGTCATTAAGCTAATTAAGACATTTTAATGAAAGTTACGAAGCCTTTATCAGAATTTAATAAGCATTACTCAGAGATTTTGCGTAAATAAAGATTTCTAACTTTATTTGGATTAGTTAAGTTGTATAGTGATTAAACAAATGCGTTGAAATGTTTAAATGACAAAATGACTGACTATAAAAAGATTTTACTATTTTGAAGTCACACAGATATATTTTAACAAACACTAGGGCAAACTTTGATTCTATTTTGATTTCGTATTATTTATTTTATTGTACTTTTCTGAATAATCTTTTTATTTCTGTTGGTTGAATGAGGATCTGTGTCGTACTATTTATTTTATCGTACTTTTCTGAATAATCTCTTTATTTCTGTTGGTTGAATGAAAGATCTTTGTCATTTTGCCGTTTTAAGTATAACTATTCGGCATTGATCAGATCATTTTATACCATTATTTGAACAATCGTTATGATTTTTGTGTAATATCTTACAAACCCATTTGTCCACTAATATCAAAAGAAATCTTTTATGAAACAATAATTCCTTTTCTTTATTTCTATAATTGTACAGTTCTATCAAACTGACATATTCAATAAAATAAAAGAATAAGAAAAAAGAATAAGAATAAAAAAAAATTAAAAGAAATACCAAACTGGTATGTATATTCAAATAATCAAAGAAATTTAGTTGGTAATTCAAGTCTGCTGTTATAGCAACAACCGACCAATAATATGCAAATGTATCAAAAAGGAAATTTTCAAATGAATGAAAGAGTATTCTGAAACGCCAAAAAAACTGCTATTTTAGATGTGAATGTTGTCCTGAATTCAGGATACGAGAATTTTTTTTTCTTTTTAATTTAGTCATTAATTGTCCATCGATGGATTAAATGGACAAATAAATAATATAGACAATATTAGGCGTTAACTTTATAACAAAAAAGGGTGATAATACTATGGATATAATTGTATCATTCGTAACGATTTAATAGGGTGTAAAATTTTACGCCTATTTTTATTTGTTTCACGAAATATTTTAAGATACATACGCAGTAATTACCTACACGAAAACTGGCCTCAGATAAAGTGAAACTCGGACGAGGTATGATAAATTAAAATCTGTCACGTGATCGCTAAATTTTTGTTGGTGCGACTGGACTAGTTTTATTAGTGCATTATTCATAAAAATAGCCCTCAATCCATTTTTTTTTTAATAAAAAATTTGATAGAAATTTCAAATTATTAAGTTTTCTTGAAAATTAAGTACACTGTATTAAACTTCACGTTAAACATTTCGAGCAACTTTTTCGTTAAATTGCATTACGAAACCGTATATAAACTCGCCATTATATATTTAAGTTTTAAATATGAACCCAAATTATTCAAATAACCAATTTTTGGTTCTGATAACAACCTCTCATTACAAATTAATCCTGAGCAAGCGGCAGCTGATTCACGTATGAATATGGATGCGCAGAATACTAGCATCAATTCATCAAACCAATATTACGACAATCCAGGACAAATCTCTGTAAATTCTTCTATCGTACAAGACAATTTTGTGATTAACCAACTCGTTCGTCCTATTAAATTTATTTATCAGCCACCAAATGATATAGATATCTATCATATCAAATGTGAAGAAATCTCAATTCAATTATTAAACGAAATTAGTAGTAACGTATCTAACATTAACTTCAATCAAAATGAATATTTCTTCTTTTATCAACAACAAAATGATAATCGAATTTATCAAGTGGTTTGTGAAATAGTTTCTCCCTCTTTTATTATTAATTTTTTAAATAAACCTATTTATGGAATTGAAATTGAGCAAAATATTGGCGAAGAATTGATCTTCAAATTTGATCAAAAGGAAAATCTCAAATTTTGTTTAATACAATATTTAAATCGTTTTTTATTGAATTAAATTTTAAAATTAAATTATTTATTATGATTACTTTAGCCAAACATTAAGTTAAGTTTATTACCTTATCGAATCGTTAATAAGTTTTGATTCCTAAATAAAATATATTATGTTTATTATTTATAGGTTAAGATCATTGAATTCATTACGAATTATAGAATAGAAATATTAATAGCTACTTTTAAATAATTTAACTCGGTAGTTTATTTAAGTTTTTAAATAATATCAAATTTTGTCTAATAAATCATTTATCTTTTTTGAATTTTTTTTTTGAGATAATAAATAAATAAGCTAAACAACAAAGAATATTTAGACACACGGACATTTTTATAAAAAGAGAGATCAACTTGTATGCATTGAAAAAAAATTATTTACTAGCAGTCACCTGTTGCTTATAATGGTATAATAAACGAATAAAAATGAACTTAATGATTAAATCATTTTAGGGAAAAATCGTAATATGTCATATAAATTCTATGAAAAATTTTGCTACACGTTACAAAATTCAAATTAATTTGTACGGGACAATCTAAACATTCAGAATATGATTATAAGTCTGAGGAGAAAATATCACCTTGATTCTTGAATAATTTCATGAATATTGTAGATGCAATTATATATTTCATTTCTGAAGTTCATACCTCGTATAAACTAATTTAATCTGTGAAGAATTATACAACCTTCATCTATTATACAAATCAGACGAATTATTAGTCATAGTTGATTAATCTGATGATTAAAAAGATTGATCAATATCACAAATCCAAAAAAAAATTATTCTATGTCTGACTGAAATTATTTTCATTTAATACATAAAATATTTTATATATTAATTATCATTTTCTGGATAATTAACAGCCCATGGTATTGCACTCATAAAGGCCACCTCTTCATGAATGAAACAACTTTGATAGAAATTATTACTAAGCAAAAATCAACAATATCTTCCTTTTCTTTAACGATGATTATTAAATATTATAACGATCATTTGGACCTTGAAACATTAAAAAAAATTTTTATGAATTATAAAAATTAAATTTGAAATATGTCATCGTATATGTACATAACATTAACCAAACTCCTGAATCCTGATATTCACATGTAATACTTGTACTAACTGGAACGTCAAAAAAAACACATGCGTATCACCTGATTCGGCTTTTGATTGATTGGTTCTAGATCAGTTGATCAAATTTATATTCATACTAATTATTGAAACATGTTACACATAATTAATCGGCACGAATTGTGCGACAATATCGGAATCATCATTCCGAAAAATGATATAATTTACCCAGTTTTGCATAATAATACTTACTGTACCTCCATTTTTCTCTTTCAATATGTCTTGTTCAAAAATATTTTCAGGAGACTTGCCCGAAGTAACTCATGAAGTTATAAAATATTTACAGAATGATCATTTAACTTTACATTCATGTATTTTAGTTAATAGATTATGGTGTCGTTTAGCGATATCATTATTATGGGAAAATCCTTTTTCAATTCATACTGGAAATTATAATTTTATTGAAATTTACTTACGTAATTTAAATGGTGATTTTAAAAAAAAATTAGATTCATATAAAGTTAATGATAATTCATTAACTTTGAATACATTGTTCAATTATATTAAGTTTTTAAAATATTTAAATACATATGATGTTCTTTTTTCTGTTGAAGAGTGGTTTGACGTTGCTGTCGGTGATCCAAAACCCGGAAATAGATATTTTTTGACAGATTTAAGTTTTAATTCAGTAACTTATTTTAAAGGATTGATTAGTATGTCATTATTTAAAATATTTATTGATAATGAAATAGATTTACATACTCTTGAAATTGAGGATTCAAATACTTATTTTAATACATGTCTTAATAATATTCTTGAATTAATTTTACAAAATAAGAATTTCTTTCATAATATTAGAAATTTGAAACTTTATATTCATAATCATGGAAGTCCAGTAATTGGAAATCGTGGATCACAAATAATTCATTCACATCAAAATCTTAAAAAAATTTTATTAGGTTATCATGGTTTACCCTTATATCAATCATTATTATTGAAAGTTTCTAATTGTTCAAATACTTTAAATACAATCATTTTCTTTTACGTCGATCTTAGAGTTTTAATCAATCTTGATAAAGTACTTGAACAATTAAATGTTTTAGAATCTGTTCATATGATTTATTGTTCCTCTTTAAATAATGGTTTTACTCAACAAATTATTAATTCATCTAAACCATTTAAATTAAAATCTTTATTTATAAATGAAATATCACAAATTGAATCATTACAATTATTATTACAAAAATCTGGTAGTTATTTAGAAAATTTTGGTTTTGGATTTGAATTTAATTATAATTTATCATTAAAACATCAATCTTTAGGATTAATTATAAAATATTGTAAGGGTATAAAATTCCTTAATTTTTATGGATTTGAAAATCAGATTGTTCATTTGGCACTCAACTTAATTGTAAATATCAAACAAAATCTTAATTATTTGGTTATCAATGTATCTGAAGATTCTCAATTAAATAATAATATTGAACGTAGTTCAATTATTTTACAAAATTTAGGACAAGCTTTACCTACAAAATTAGAATATTTATGTTTGATTCTTTTTATTAAAGTAATTGATTTAGAAATTTTCTTAAAAAATTCTCAAAATACTTTTATTAAGAAATTATTAATTAGTAATAATATGCAAGAAAATAATGATGATGATAATATTATTTTACCTTATATAAAAGAATATATTATGAAAGAAAAAAGGGTTGAATATTTGGCTATTAAAGATATTTTCCTTGAAAAAGATCCAAGATATGCTGTTGAATGTGGTGATTTATCTAATTTAAAAGATTTTGTGGAGGAATTTAAATTATATGATATTAAAGTTCAAAATTATTATGATCTATTGTCTATTGTTAGCATTTATTATTTTGTAAAGAATATTGATTAATTACTCAAATTGATTGAACATTTCATCTTTTTAAATAAAGTTTTTTTTTTTCAAAAATAAATAACCATGGATTCATGGCAGATAATTTTAAAATCTTGAAATCGCTAATTTAATGATAAATGTGAACTACTTATTCTAACATCAATTTTTTATAATATTCAATCATGGGATTTGCCAACATAAACTTTGTTTCTACTTAGGACTAATTTTTCACGCTAGTTATTCTCTAAAGTAATGCAAAATTCAATATATAATATGTAAATTAATACCTACATAACAATTAGTAATGACATGCTAAGAACTTTGATAATAAAGTTGATGCAACTCGAATCCCATACAAAATCAAGAATAAAATTAATTTGATTGTTATTTTTCCCCTCAATAATAGAATCTATAAAAAAAAAAATAGATACTCTTTTTTTGGTTGTGATCTACTAGCAGAAAACTTTGTTTACTAACCATTGAAGTTTATAATTTTATAAAGAAAATTATCTAGTACTAATAATTTAAACATTCCTTTATATAAATAAAGTTACTATTATTCTAAAATAAAATAATAAAATATTTATTGAAAATATTAATTATCCATGACGATTTATCAATTTAATAATCCATTCTAATAATTGAGTGATAATAATTTGACATATCAAACGCAAATTAACTTACTAGTCAGAAAGTTAATAATGTCTAATTTCCCATTATAATTTGGGATGTACCCTACCATATAAATTATAAACAATTCGATTTCCAAGGAAAGAAAGATAAACTGTGTAAGGTTTCAAATAACTCTAAGTGTAGAAGTAAATTGATGCAAGTCAATCTTGATCGATTAAAGTTATATGCATCATCATCCAGAATATTGAACTTGATTACAATGATGAATCAATTCAAGCTTCATACGGGCCAATTCTGGACAGAATTTCGGTTGCCATTTAGGAAATAATGTTACTAAACGCCGTTACCAAAAATAAATGATCGACATTCCGTGTGTTTAGTGTTATTTCTGGCCGGTATTATGAGTTTACCAGAATTACGATCAGGCTGCGTATGAAAGGCATTAATTGTGCGACAATATCGGAATCATCACTCCGAAAATTAATATAATTTACCCAGTTTTGCATAATAATAAGAATTTGATACCTCTCTTTTTCTCTTTTCGCTTACAACATGTCTTGTTCAAAAATATTTCCTGGAGACTTTCCTGAATTAACTTGTGAAGTTATAAAATATTTACAGAATGATTATTCAACTTTATATTCATGCGTTTTAGTTAACAGATTATGGTGTCTTTTAGCGATTCCATTATTATGGGAAAATCCAATTTCAATTTCAAATCCTAATGGAAATTATAATTTTAATTTTATTGAAATTTATTTACATAATTTAAATGATGATAAGTTAAATGAATATAAAATCAATGATAATCCATTACCTTTGAATACACTGTTCAATTATCCTAAATTTTTAAAATATTTGAATACATATGATATTTTTGATTCTGTTGATGGGTGGGTTGAAGGTTTTATCCGGACATCAAAACCCGAAAATAGATATTTTTTAAAAGGTCTAAATTTTCATTCAGTAACGGATTTTAAAGAATTGATTATTATGTCATTATTCAAATTATTTATTGAAAATGAAGTAAATTTACATACTCTTGAAATTAAGGTTACAGATCCTTATTTTCATACATGTTTTTATAATATTCTCGGGTTAATTTTACAAAATCCAAATTTTATCCATAATATTAGAAATTTAAAATTTTATGCTATATCTAATAATATTAAAAACATTCTAATTGAAGATCGTATAATTCAAATAATTAATTTACATCAAAATCTAAAAACAATTTTATTAGGTAATGGAAATTTACTTTTCTATCGTCCATTATTATTATCAAAAGATTGCAATTGTTCAAATTCTTTAAATAATATCATATTATGTTCCGTCGATTTTAATAATATGAATAATTTTAAAAAGATATTTGAACAATTAAATGTTTTAGAATCCGTTCACGTCGTTCATTGTTCTTCTTTAAGTGATTTTATTCAACAAATTATTACTTTAACTAAACCATTTAAATTAAAATCTTTATTTATAAATGAGATATTACAAATTGAATCATCAATACAATTATTATTACAAAAATCTGGTGATTATTTAGAAAATTTTGGGTACAGATTTGATCTTGATTATAATCTATCATTAAAAAAACAACAATTATTAGAATTAATTACAAAATATTGTAAGAATATCAAATTCCTTGATTTGTATGGAATTGATAATCTGATTATTTATCCAATAATCAATTTAATTGAAAATGTTAAACAAAATCTTAGTTATCTTTCTATCAGTACATGTAATAATAATCCTTTAACCTGGGAGGATTATTTTTATTCATCATATGGTGATACTGAATGTAGTTCAATCATATTACAAAATTTAGGACAAACTCTTCCTTCTAAATTAGAGTATTTACATTTGAGTCTTCATCACATTAAAACAAGTGATTTTGAAATATTTCTAAAAAATTCTCAAGATACTTTTATTAAGAAATTATTAATTTATCATAGGGAAAGTCAAGATATTTTACCCACTGTAAAAGAATATATTATGAAAAAGGAAAGGGTTAAATATTTAGCTATATATTGGTGAACCTTTCTTTGATGCATCTACTATTATTTATTGTAATGAATTGATTTTATGGGAAGATGAAGTGAAGGAATTTGAGTTGTATAATATTAAAGTGCAAAGCTTTAATAGTTTATTGATTTACTACGTGTATTATTTTATGAGGGAATTTATTTAGTAGCAATTTAAAAATACCGTGCCATTCCGAAATTAAACAACCCCGAAAATAAGCAACCCTGGCCTGCATTATCGCGATTTTGACCAGAATTATGACTACGTTGGCCGGAATTAAGTTCAAAAAATGGTTGTTTAATTTCGGAATGGTACGGTATCAAATAGATTCTTATATATAATGTTGCTTATAAATTTACTTATTCTAAATAAAATACTATTTATTTATTAGTTTGTTAATGAGATTATCATTACTTTTATCAAGTGAATTCTTTATCCTAAAACTTGGCGATACAGTAATTTAAAATGTCATAATTTACAAATTACAATATTATGCTTATTAATCATGTGTCTAGTTTCTCATACTATATTTGTGATTTACCACATAAATATTTTGATCCTCAGTCTGTTAAAATTCTCTCTAAGCATACTGGATTTCTATTTTATTTACTGAAAAACCAATAAGTAACAGATCTTAAAAGTCAGATTGAGTTTAAAAGGAGAAGAAAAAATTTTGAAAGAAGATGTAGGCAAGAAAGACAAAAAGAAATCGCCTAAGCATTGTAGTATTCATTAATAATTCCATCAATAAATTATAATCTTAATGATATTGTAATCTACTAATCTGTACGTCCAGCATTACTAATTGATGTAATGATTGCATCCAAATAAGATTTTACTAAAAAGTTGAGAATTTATTAATCATAAGTTTTTAGAAAAGTTAAACTTCCAAGCAAAGTAATTATTCCACTAGCAAGTTTTATTGGTACTACATAATTGTATTGTTTTTAAAACAGTCCCAGTAAATAGTTTTTGTATAAATTTGTACCAAATGGGCTCATCTATATATAATTGGCTCTAGATTGGCTTAAATTTGGATTATTTTTTGCATAACCCTATAAAAAATTTTTCAGAAAATGATCACGTGTCTGAGTTTCTTCGGAGTAAAAACTAGAAAAATGATCATTTATCGGAGTTTTTCCAGAATTTTTTTTTATAGGGTAAATTTGAGCTAATTTCGAGCCAATGAGCCCGTTTGGTATAAATTTATACAAAAACTATTTACTGTGAGTTAAATTCAACATGATATTGAATTTCTAATTCATTTAATAAAGAGAGTTTAATAAAATATAAGTTGATTAATATTGCCGCCAGTAAAGAGAAACTTGATCTAATTTAAAATTTCTAAAGTCAAAACGTTGTTGTATAAATGATTTTTGAGAAAAATTTAAAGGCTTGATTCAATTATGGGTTGGAATCGATTCTGCCAAAATCGAAGAATCGATTTTAGCCGGCCCGAATTATGTAATTCTATATCACGTGACTTCATATAAACAGTTTAGCCATCGGGTAAAGAAAATTATGAATGGCGTTACACAAAAGTTTTAATTCCGGCCGGAATTATAAACTTGGGCAGAGTTACCGCCGATCACTGATTACATTTATTTTAATGCAAAAAACATATGTAAAAACGAAATAAATGATGTTGAATTTGTGATCATTGGAATTGCTCTGCTATAAATTTAATGGTGAACTATTGATTAGAAATGATTAATCGAAATCGCGATTAATCGATTCTAAAATCGATTCTAATTATGGGAATCAATAATTAATTTTTTCTTTATAACAAAAAAGCTATATTTACAAAAATTTTTCAGATTTATAAATTTATTGGATGTGTTTTTTAAATTTTGACCGAGGTTAGTTTGGTAATCATTACCAGAGATAATGATCATCCTTGTTATTGCGCCTTTACGTGAACACAATTGATTGACATAATTGTGCGACAATATCGGAAGGTTCGGAATCATAATTCCGAATATTATATATAAATTGACACAATAGTAAAAATTTTGTTACACAAATACCTCTCTTTTTCTCTCTTCGCTCGCAATGTCTTGCTCAAAAATATTTTCAGGAGATTTTCCCGAATTAATTTATGAAATTATAAAATATTTTCAGAATGATTATTCAACCTTATATTCATGCATTTTAGTTAACAGATTATGGTGTCGTTTAACGATACCATTATTATGGGAAAATCCATTTTCTATTCCTACTGAAAATTATAATTATAATTTTATTGAAATTTACTCACATAATTCATATAAGTTTAGAACAAAATTAAAAGAATATAGAATTATTAATAATTTATTACCTTCAAATACACTGTTCAATTATCTTAGTTATTTAAAATATTTGAATACATGTAAATTTATTACTTCTATTAAGAAATGGTTTTGTACTGTTATAGGAATTTCAAACCCCAATGAATTAGATATTATAGGATTGATTGATATTTGTGTATCATTATTTAAAATATTTATTGAAAATGAAGTAAATTTACATACTCTTGAAATTGAGGTCTCACATGTTATTGAAGAATCTACACATCTTAATAATATACTTGAATTAATTATACAAAATCCTGATTTTGTTCGCAATATTAGGAATTTAAAGCTTTATGTTGTATATAATATTAATATTAGTCTAATTAAAGATCGTATATCACAAATAATCAACTCACATCAAAATCTAAAAAAAGTTTTCTTAGGTTATAATAATTTACCTATATATCAATCATTATTATTATCAGAAGATTATAATTGTTCAAATTCTTTAAACACTATCATATTATATCGTGTCAATTTTAAAGATTTAATCAATTTAAGAAACATATTTGAACAATTATATGTTTTAGAATCTGTTCATATCGTTTATTGTTCTTCTTTAAATGCTGAATTTATTCAACAAATTATTACCTTACCTAAACCATTTAAATTAAGATCTTTTTTTATAAATGAGATGTCACAAATTGAGTCATTACAAATGTTGTTACAAAAATCGGGTGAATATTTGGAAAATTTTGGGTACGGATTTGAATTTGTATCATTAGAAAAGAAACATTTATTATTAGAATTAATTACAAAATATTGTAAGAATATCAAATTTCTTGATATGTGTGGAAATGATGATCAGATTGTTTATTCAATACTCAATTTAATTGGAAATATTAAACGAAACCTTAATTATCTTTCAATTAGTACATGTGGTTTAATCTGGGATGATTATTATTCATCATCATATGGTAATGCTGAATGTAGCTCAATCATATTACAAAATTTAGGGCAAACCCTTCCATCTGAATTAGAATATTTATATCTGAGTCTTCACCACATTAAAGTGAGCGATTTTGAAATATTTCTAGAAAATTCTCAAGATACTTTTATTAAGAAATTAGTAATTCATTACAAGGAAAGTCAAGATATTTTACCCTCCATAAAAGAATATATTATGAAAAAGAAAAGGGTTAGGTATTTGGCTATTAGTGAGCCTTCCTTTGAGACTTCATTTTATAATTTTAATCTTTATGGTAAGGAATTAATTTCATTAGAAGATGAAGTGAGGGAATTTGAGTTGTATAATATTAAAGTGCAAAGTTACTATAGTTCAGTGATTAACGTATTTAATTTTGTAAAGGAAATTGAATGATTATTTAGTAACAATTTAAAATATCAAATATTAATATTCATTTTACTTATAAATTTACTTATTTTAAATAAATTATTATTAAGTTTATCAAGAAAATTTTATTATTTAATTCATTTGGTGATACAATTATTTGAAATGACATAATTTACGTCTGCCGATCTGATGTAATTTACCACTGTAACGCAAAGTCCTTACCACGTTGAGACGTTAACTATTCCTTTATTTAAATAATAAATTATACTAATGATAAAATAATTACAGCAACTATATTAAAATTTTCAAAAGAATTCTGCTGCGCTCACATTGAATCTATCTCCTATTTATAATAAATTATAAATCTATATAATTTCCTGAGATATCATTTCTACTAATATTCCCAATATATTATTTTATCATTTCTCCTATTTTAGATTTTCCATTTCAACTTTTTTCGTATATTGATATTTTCTAAGCCCCAAATAATTCATAAGCCTCATTTAATAAACATTGAAGTATACTCATGTGACAGGAGTTGATCACTTCTAAAAATAACAAATAAAATTTATACACTTAAACTAAATATAAGACTGCGCCTTATACTTAATAAATTCATTAAATGATTCTGGCATTACACCACCGCCGACGTCGGTCGTTAACCGGAGAATTTTATTGCCGAATATCTTGTGTAATTTTAGTCACAAGATGTAAACATATGTATTAGTTGATTAGTAATAAACTTCACTTTCATACTTTCATACTTGGATTGTCTGCACAGATTAATTTATTACATATGAACTACTTAAACTACTTAGTGTGAGAATTTTTTGATCGGCAATTTAATTAAAGAATGAAAATTCTTTATAAATACGATCTCTAAATTCAATCAAGATATTTTTTTTTTTTTTTTCAAATTAAAAAAAAAAGACAACAAATAAATATAAATTTTCTTCTCCCTTTTAAAAAAACTCGTAAAAAAATGACCATTCAACTTACTGGATACTCTATCTCTGCTTATTGTCTTGTGCTACTCCACGTTCTTAAAGAATTAGGATTATCTTATGAATTCACTCAACCAAATAGTTTCGAAGAAATTAAAACTCCAGAGTATTTGGCTACGAAACATCCTTTGTAAGTGAAAAAACCTTTTTTTTCTTTAAAGTATATACGCCACAGAAACATCACGAGTTACTGATTTGAACTTTCCTTTTTTTTTTTTTAAATAGTGGAAAAATTCCTTCTCTCAATGATGATGGATTCCAAATTTACGAAACTCGTGCAATCGCTCGTTATTTGGTAAAAAAATATCAAGGAACCAAATCTTCCACCGTTCTTATTCCTTCCGATGTACAAAAAGCCGCTTTGGTTGAACAATTTATTTCAGTAGAAATCTCTTATTATACTCAACCTTTAGGTAAATTGGTTGGGCAATTAGTATTCGCGAAACGCCGAGGTAATGAACCTGATCTTAAAATTATTAACGAAGCTCGCGAAGAACTCGAAAAAGTTTTAGATGTTTATGAAAAATTATTAGAGGATAAAGATTATTTAACTGGAGAATTCTCTCTAGCCGATCTTCTTCATATTCCTTTAACTAATTATGCTATTAAAGCTGGTGAAAATGATTTATGGAATAAACGTCCTAATGTTTCTAGATGGTGGAAAAACATTAGCGAACGTGAATGTTGGAAAAATATTCTCAATGAATATACATTAGCATAATATACAATGTATTTTTTTTACGTTGTGATAAATAGTATGCTTTTCATTTATGTATAACATACTACTGTAAACAGCAGCATATTTAGTTTATTTCAAATAAATGTCAATTTTTGGCTGATTTTAAAAAATTCCATATCGCGATTTTTATATACTTTATGTTATTATATCGATTAACATTCAATATTATCAAAATTAGCCACGCTTAAAGTTTATAATTATAATTAATAAATAACTATCTAACCGACGAATAATTATTCCTATACGGACAGTTGATATGTAATTTTGATCGTAAGACGTAAATATATGTAGTTTTTTCAACTTGACAATGTGATTAATGCTCACGTTTTAAATGTTCGAGAAACAAGATTTGATGATATTTATAAAAAGTTCTAGATTCATCACATCCGTTATCTGAGTTTAAGATTTTTTGGATCTTTTATAAAAAGATTTAAACATTCGTAATTTACAACCATTTCATAAGCTGCGGGACGTTCGAGAGACACTCAGCACATTCGGTAAAACTCGGTAAAGCTCATAATAAAGTCGGTCCAATGATTCTGAGTTTCTCTCGACGAGGAGAAAAATGGCGGATGTTACGCAACTTATAAATTTACTGTAAACAACTTTCATTCACTTTCAAAAAGTATTAATCGATCGGCTATTCACTTTCATTCACTTTTTTTTTGAATGACTTGCAAGTAATCAACCATTCTTCAATGGAATTTCCCTCGATTTATGAACTAAAAAATATCAGAAAATTGTTTTGCAATTTTCGTATTAACTTGAATTTATTGAAATGGAAACCGGTATTAAGTCCGAAGTTGTACAAGATGGTCATCATCCAGAGATGTATCACCTTTGAGAATTATATAGTCCTTCGTTACACCTCGAGCTAAAAAATTACCCATGATACAGTCTTATTTAATTATTGGAGGTCGTTGTTGAATAATTGGCTGTCATTGTCATGACAACATTCATTCAATATTGACCGTAATATAATATCGAAGTGCCTAATAACAGTTATATCGCAAGTAATCTTACATAATCATGATAAATTAGACTAGACAACTGCCACAATGTTAAACCAAATCTGATTAATGATTTCTATAATTGTTCTATTCACCTGAATGATGTGGGATACCGAGGATTGTTATGAGCTATATCGATGAAGATTTGACATTGGATATTCGTCACTCCCATCCTAATCCAATAAAGTATTATCAAAATTAATCAGTCACATCTAAAAATTTACCTTAATAATTAGTACTATTAGTTACTAGTTATTTTATTTAGATCCGAGTTTGGGACTTTTAGGGACGTCTAGTCGTCTAGCTATTAGTAATAAGTTAAAAAATATTTCGCAATTTATTTAGCTCCTCTCCGATTTATGATTAATATTTTCTAATTGATTTGTTTATGGACTAAAAAGGTATCGGTAAAGGATCTCAGAGGTATTACAATTTATCAAATCTAGATAAAAAAAGAAAGGAGTAGCTATATATATTGATGATAATTATGATTTCTAATCAAAATCCAAAAAATTTAATTAAAAAACAAGAGTTCATGTTTAAAGGGGAGTTAAGACTATAAAATGTAAAATATATGAAATGTGATTTATTTTGAACTTGTTCATACATGACATTCGTTTATAATAAATATCTTTTAATCATAATTGGCAAATTTTTTAGTATCTTACTTTTATCATACCTTCAGAACGGAATTATTATTTTTTGTGCAGCAGTGAAAGGAGATGTTTTAATATGAAAAGTTCTATATAAAATTTTACATACACTATTTTATATAATTTTAAGGACCAAACATGAATTTTTTGTAAATATGTAAAATATGTCTATGTAGATTTTTTAATTAAAATTCAAACATATTTCATATAGTTTTAAATAAAGTATTATTTAATATTATAAATTGTAAATTCAGTTTACTTCAGAAAATGTATTTATACAATAATAATTACTAGCAAGCAAATACGGTATTAATTAACTAAATACTAAGGTAAACATAAAATACTAAAAAAACTTGGATTATCGCCCAATAAATATGTTTTTGTGATAATGTGGTTTAGTAGTTTTATTTGAAGATCAATCTTTTTTTTACTAGACTAGGTAATCAGTTCTTCACCAACAAATTCTTTAATCATTTTTATCAAGATTTTTTGCCTTCTTGGTTTCCTTAAATGTTGAATTAATAAATCCATCAATTCACTTTTTCTTTTATTACCTTGTTATTCCATTTTCGTAAATGTAACAATGTAAAGCTCCGCATGAGCTGGTTCAAGCCGAGCCAACTAAAATTCGAACCAGCTTGTCTCGACTAGAATGGCCGAAGCTGAGTCGAGGCAATCCTTAAGGTAGCTTGGCTCAAGCCGGTTCGAGCTACACGATTTTTAGATTTTTAAATATAGAATTTGCGAAATGATCAGTTGTTCATGATCACCTGCACAAATATCATTTTTGCTTAGTTCAGAGCTCGCGAGTCAGCTGAGCCAGCTCGAACGGACTGCATTGTAGCTCAGCTCGAATGAGCTTAGCTCAATTGATTGCGAGCTATGGCTCGGCTTGGCTCGCTCACGAGTTGGCTCGAGCTATATGAATGATTATCAGCTAATTATCAATGTAAAAATTATATTATCTTTTTTAATTAAATTAAATTTATATAGCAAGAAAACTTTAAACAATAAACATTTTTTTAAACAAAATAAAAATTTGATTATTATATATACAACGTTATAAGAAAAAAAATCATTTACTTTCTAAATAATTATAATAAGAGATTTTGGTGCTTTTTTTTTATTTATTTATGTATAGGATATCGTAACGATTATTTCCATTTTGGATTACTATTTTTTTTTTTTAAAAAAAGAGAATTTATATCTTTTTTTGGTTTATATAGGTTGGAATAATAAAAATAATATTAATTTTTTTTGCTCTCAAAAAAGATCGGTGAAGTATGTCAGTATCGAAGTCCGTATCTGATTGTTAGGTTTTTTTTACGAATCGAGGTGTTTAAATATGGTTTGCTTAGCAGATCCCTGTTGACTAATGGGCTGGTTCGGCAAAAATTATATTATTTACTGCAATTTTTTTAATTGACTAAATCTATTTTAGGATTTCATCGTAAATAAATTACGAATTTAGCATTACGATCGTTATTTTGACATAATTGTATTATTATAGACGTTGAAATGCTGAATGCTAAAATAATTTTATGACTGGACTGATCTGTTCAGTTTTTAAACCGAAATATTTTTTTAAGCCCATTTATTTATTTATTTTTCGAAAATTTAATAACTTTTTAATTTAATTTTTGCCGAAACAAGGGGATCAACCGAAACAAGGGGTACAGGGTTTTGGAGTTTTCTTATGCTGATCGTGCTTTTCCTGCATAATCGAATTTCTTTTTCTTTTTTTTTTTGTGTTTGTTTTTCCGTTTATCATGTTGTTTGGTGTCTGCATTAGATAGGTTTTTATTCTATTCATTATGTGGAATGCACTAGTCACCAGGGCGTTCTTTGTACCTGTGTATTTTGAATTAATAAAGTACAAAAAAAAACCAAATAGAGGTAAACATGCATAATACAATTAATGCATTTTTACACTTCAATCGAATTTTCCGTAATACTAAGACGAATTCGTCGACAGAAAAAGAAAATTCTATATTCTATTCAGAGGTTCATTATATAAAAATTTGAAAAACTATAAATTTATTGAATTTTCTATACTTGCTTATATCGTAATATTATAAAATGGAACTAGTAAAATTAAATGAAAAAAATTCTTTTGATCCAACACCAAAATTAAAATCTAGCCCCGTACCAATTTTTTTTGTTTCATTTGATTGGAGAGATGATAATTGTATTCATTGTGGAGAAGAATACACACAAACGAATATTGAGAAACAAAAGTATTGTAAAAATTGTTTATCGCGTTATTTAACCAATATAACTGATAATGACATATACTTGGACGTATATTTTTTCACAGAGGATTTGAAATGTAATGAACATGAAATAAGCAGAACAAAAGTACACCGAAATATTCAAGAATGCTGTAGAAATTGTTTGAAAATATTATTTTTTAAACAAATAATGTACTTTAATTCTTATTATTCTTTAGATTTTAATACTAAAATGATTGAAAGTGAAAAATATTGTAAACTATGTGGAAAATTATTATATAAAGGAACAGCTTACCATATGAAGGAATATAAATGGTGTTCAGATTGTTATCTAATTTCTTCTGGATGTATAGAATCAACTTTAACTAAAAAGCCTATTTCAATTATATATTTACCATGGTGGGACGCTACAATTATTTGTTATTGTTGTAAAATTCTAGTATTTACCTCAAATTGTCAAAAGTATTGTGAGAATTGTTTCATATTTTTTATTGGATGTAGATATTGTTTAACAACAAATATTATTTTTGGAATTACAAATCAATCACTTTGCAAAAAATGCAAGAGAGTATCAACCATTATACTAGATAGCAAAAAGATTATTAGTATTAACAGTGGGAAAAGTATTTTAGATGATTTCCTTGTTAGTATAAGATCTTATCAATTAGAAATAGATAAATTTACTGACGTTATAAAAAATGTTGATAAATATTTCGTTCCATACGAAATATGTTGTAATTTAAGCCGCTTTTACAAAAAACCAAGAAAATTCATGAAATATATACCATATTCTCAATTTATGAATGTAAAAAAAATAGCAGAAGGAGGATTTAGTATCGTATATCAAGCAACTTTGTTAGATGGTATGGAATATTATTTTTGGACTAAAAATGGACATAAAAATATTTTCATTTTAAAAAGATTTAAAAATTCTCAATATGCTAAAAAATATTTTTGAGAGAGGTAAATATTTTAAAGATTAAAAGATTGGTATTTATTTTATAAAAATTTTAAATTTTAATCTTAATATTTATAGTTAAAATCGAATTATTACAGTTTTACAACAGATAGAACAGATAGCGGAAATCCTATGTTGATTGAAACTTTTGGTTTTACAAAAGACCCTCGAGTGGATGGATTAGATAGTTATATATTAGTTATGGAATATGCTCCAATTGGAGATTTACATAATTATCTACAAATGAACTTTACAATAATTGATTGGAGAGAAAAAATTTTTATTCTATATAATCTTACAATTGGGTATTTAAATTTTAGGCATATTGGTAAATGATTAATTTATAATACAAATTTATTAATTATTACTATTTTAGACTTCTGAGTATTCATGATACAAATCTCATACATCGAGATTTACACAGTGGAAATATGTTGATAACTGGCTATGATTGTAAAATCGGAGATCTAGGATTATCACAATCTGCAAATGATACCTTATTGGATAATGAAATTTATGGAGTGATACCTTATATTGCACCAGAAATATTTATGGGGTCAGCATTTTCTAAAGAATCTGATATTTATAGTCTGGGTATGATTATGTGGGAACTTACAACAGGTTGTAAGCCTTTTGCTAATGTTGAACATGGTATTGATCTAATTATCAAAATTATTGATGGTGCACGACCTGAAATTACAGAAGATACAATAGAATGGTATGCTAATTTAATGAAAAGTTGTTGGGACCCTGATCCCAAAAAAAGACCTTCTATAGATATCATTAAAGATATTTGTAAAAAATGGGACAAACGAGAATATGATGGTCAAGTTGATCAAGTTGATCAAGCTGACTTAAAAAGGAAAAAGTTGATAGATTCAAAAAAGCTTGGTCCTGAGTTTAGTGAAAAGTCTCATCCAAATGCTATTTATACAAGTAAATTATTAAGTTCTTACATTTCTAAATGCTCATCTATATTTTCTAAATGTTCATCTATCAATTCTTCATCAAAAGGTATTTACTATGCTATTTTAATAAAAGTCATCTTTGATAGATAAATTAAATTTCTATTTTATAGATTACATTTCAAACGAGTTAGAATTTTGACATAGACATTAAAAGGTATTTAAAATTAAAAATATTTGATAAGTAATTTATAATTTAAATCCAACAACGAAATCTTCATCAATAAAATACAATTTTATATTAGTAGCAGACTTGACTCACTTGGAACTAAGCGAAATATTGAAGAATTAAATATTAATTCTTGTGAAAATAATGGTAAATATTTTATTTGATTAAATGTTATCAAAAAATATTTATATCTTTATTATTTTATTTTTCTAATTTAAAATAGGAAAACGCATTAAAAATTAGTTCCGGCTATTTGAGAATTTCTCAAAGAAACAATAATAATCAAGAAATAAGAAATGGGGAAAAATTTTTCGTATAAATATAATAATATATTTTTATTTCTAATATTTTATTTATGTATATTCCTTTTTTTATTATTATTATTATGCAATATTATTCAATTAGCTTTGGTGAAATGGCTCATTTTCGCAAAGTCGAAGTAGCTTAAATTTGAATCCATAAGGCGCAGTTAAAACTTAAAATCATAAATAGATAAAATTCTTAACGGTTAAAAGGACTGGGCAGGATAATTAAATCATAACTTGCGCCGATTGACAAACTTTCGAAAGTTGTTTCGTGTATAAAATTTAAGTATAAATTCATAAAGGCGCATAGGATTTTATAAAGTGTGCTAGATTTATAATTTTATATAATAAACTTTTTAAAGAAATTCATGGTGATTTTGTTTAAATATCTAATTTATTTAAAATAATTTAATGCCAAAAAAAAAAAATGTTCACTTTTTCTTGTTATATATGTATATAATAATATACTGTATACAGTATATAAAATCATGCCAATATTATATACGCTAATATTATATAAATTTTACCCAAATATATATGTATATATAAAATATATTTTTAGAATGGATATCGTTAGTAATTTAGACTCATATGTATCACTTTTAATGCATCTCAGTTAATTGGGATGCAGATTTTCTGTGTTTCACAGAATTTCACAAAATCACGGAATAGGGTTATAAAATGATGAAAAATTTCGCCTGATTTAATAATTCTGGCTGTAATACGATCGGGAGTCAAAGTGGTGTACTTGTTGACATTAAGTTTGGCTAGAATTTTGTGAATCGGAATGTTGGCCGACCTTGCATAATTCTGGCCAAATCACAGAATTACTTTTATCACACGCAGAATTCATCCTTAATCACCGCAGAAGAAAATCATCGTCCCTGTGATCATGATTTAAGACGTTAATGATGTTGCACACAATTGATCACTAATTGTGCGACAGTATCGTCCGAAAATTAATATAAATAGACACAATAGTAAAATGTGATACGCAAATACCTCCCTTTTTTCTCTCTTTCTCTTTTTTAACTTACAATATGTCATGTTCAAAATTATTTTCGGGAGATTTACCCGAATTAACTTATGAAGTTATAAAATATTTACAAAATGATCATTCAACTTTACATTCATGTATTTTAGTTAATAGATTATGGTGTCGTTTAACGATTCCATTATTATGGGAAAATCCATTTTCTATTTCTACAAGAAACTGTAATTTTATTATTGATATTTACTTACATAATTCTAAAACAGAATTAAATGAATATAAAATTATTAATAATTTATTACCTTCAAATACTTTATTCAATTATCTTAATTTTTTAAAATATTTGAATACATATAAATTTATTACTTTTGTTAAGAAATGGAAAATGTCAACCTTCAAAAATAAACTTTTAAAAAGTTCAATAATTGAAATATGTTTATTACTAATTAAAATATTTATTGAAAATGAAGTAAATTTACATACATTTGAAATAGAGATTCCACGTATTATTAAAGATTCTAGATATCTTGATCATGATATTCTTGAGTTAATTTTACAAAATCCAAATTTCATTTATAATATTAGAAATTTAAAATTTTATAGTATATTTTATGATGTTACAATCCAAAATCGGGTATCACAAATAATTAAATCACATCAAAATCTAAAAAAAATTTTACTTGGTTATGATTTACCTTTATATCAATCATTATTATTATCAAAAGATTATAATTTTTCAAATACTTTAAATACAATCATTTTCTATTACGTCGATCTTAAAGTAATAATAAATAAAGATAAAGTATTTGAACAATTTAATGTTTTAGAATTTGTTCATATTGTTTATTGTTCTTCTTTAAATAATAGTTTTATTCAACAAATTATTACTTTAACTAAACCATTTAAATTAAGATCTTTATTTATAAACGAGATATTACAAATCGAATCATTACGATTATTATTACAAAAATGTGGTGGTTATTTAGAAAATTTTGGGTTTGGATTTGAATTTGATTTTAGTCTATTATTAAAACAACAGTTATTAGAATTAATTACAAAATATTGTAAGAATATCAAATTCCTTGATTTGTATAGAATTGATAATCCGATTATTTATCCAATAATCAATTTAATTGAAAATATTAAACAAAAACTTAATCATCTTACAATTCGTATATCGGATGATACTTATTATTCTTCAAATGGTAATATTGGATATGGTTCAAATATATTGCAAAATTTAGGACAAGTTCTACCTTCTAAATTAGAATACTTAAGTTTGACTCTTTCTATTAAAGAAAATGATTTTAGAACATTCTTAGAAAATTCTCAAGATATTCTTATTAATAAATTGTTAATTAAGCAAAGAGGTAGTTACGATATTTTACATGATATAAAGGAATATATTATGGAGAAAAAAAGAGTCAAGTATTTGTCTATTAGGTACTATTTTAGAGATCAAATAGATTTGTATGATTTGAAAGATGAAGTGGAGGAATTTAAACTATATAATGTTAGAGTTCGAAGTTGGCATGAATTATCTTTTGCTGGTGATATTTATAATTTATTAAAGAAAGTTGATTAATTATTATATAATTTTTGACAACTGAATAATTAAAGTTGCTTATTCTTTTACGTTATGTTTACGTTAAGATTGATATGAAATGTTAACGTTAACGTTAACAATGGTTTCCTTTTTCGGCATACCTCTATCCCAATTTAATACTTTTTTAATTCAAATTTTTCCACTTTTAAACAATCGCCATTCAAATAATCTTTTATTGTATAAATTACTAAACACTATTAGAAATAAATCAAAAATTTGCAATGAATACAAACTATTTATATAATTAATGATATTGCATGATTTATTTTTTTTTTGGTTTTATTGGTAATCATGTGATTATGTGATTATGACGTTTAACCTCATATCATGCATGCAATATTGATTTGATACATTATAAAGTTGATCTCTTCGAACGCTCTTCTTTTGTCTAATACTACATAAGAAAATTAACATTTGATCTATCTGAATTTGGTTAGTATACTTTTATCCGAGATTAAAGGCTTTCTCAAGTACTTAATGGATCGGAAGAAGATTCTTATTAGTAATTGATCAAATGAGTTTATCATTTCAAATTTTCAATCAACTGCTACGAACCTACCATCGCATTTTTACTTTAAATTTAATTGTAATACTTGAGCAGCATCTTCAATCACATTGAGGTTTGAGGGAGATGGTAAAACAATAATTTAATGGATCACATGGATCATTTATCACGTGCTTTATCGCTTCAAATTTCAAGGTTTATTTATTTACACAACAAATTTATGATTTTTTTTCGAGGAAAAATATATCAAAAGTTCAACCAATTTTAGTTTTACATATCCTAATTCTGTCTTTATATGAATTTTTTAGGATTTAACTTTGAAAAACGTGATTTGTTTCACAACCCCTAATTTCAAATTGCGTATTTGCGTAGCGTTCTGATGGGTTTATGGTACGTAAGTAACTATTTTTTATTTGTTTTTAATCCTATAAAAAATTTATTCGTTATTTCTGTAAAAAACTCTGTAAAAATGAGCATCCATTTACGGAAAATGTAAATAATTTGATAAATTCCGTGATATAAGGTTATTAATTCCGGAAATATAAGCTTTTACGGAAAAAGACGGAATAAAAACGGATCAACCTTTTTACAGGTAAAAGTTATACATGTATACATGTATGTAGTTAATGTTTTGAAAAATCTTAAAAGCTGCAAAATTTGATTTTGTTTATTAATGTTTATTTTTTTTATATCATAATTTAAAGAATTTAAAATTTTATCATTATTATTTTAAAGTTAGGTAAATTTTATTATTTTTTTTAACTCCTTTTCAATAATATTTTATTTTTAATATCATTAGAATTATCTTAATTAAAACTTTATTTTGGTATAATTTTACTTGATTTAAATCATAAGTTACAAAAAAAAAACATTTAAAATGAGTACAATATAGATATTACCATACATTTTTACTTATTTGCCTATTCTCAAATATAAATTTAATTATAAATTTTTTGGTAATGTTTTTCATAAATAAATTATCAGAGAGTGCATTTTTTTATTTTTTAAAATTTGGGATATATCTTAGTATCGTTTTTTTTTTAATTGATGATAAATCTGTTAAAAATTAATTTTAAATATGATTTCAAAAATCTATTGTGCATTGAAGCTTTTAAAGAATTTGTTTACGATCGACACATAAAATCTTGCGTAGACTTATTAGTATTGTATGTAGACTTGCAAATATTTAAATAAAAAATAGAATCTCATAAATGTGATAAAGTTTCAAATTACATGTGTTAATGTTTGCCGACGTCATGTCACGTTAAAATTATTTATTGATTTTGACGAACAGTCTAACGTGGGACGGCAGAGTTACAAAATTATTTTTTGCTGCAAATTACACAAATTTTTGTATCTTATTTCGTAACACCAAATTTCTATAAATAGTACAAAAATTTTTTTTCTTTCTCTTTTTTAAAATTTTCAACGTAAATTAACTTCCACAGTAAAAACTAACTACCGCAGTAATAACAATGTCTAATACCACTGAACTTAATATGATCGACAATTCAAATGAGTGGATTAATTGGATCGAAGAATCTATTGCGAAAAAACAAATTAAATATTATGACTATAATCATTTTAATAATATACAAGAAGTTGGTTTTGGTGGGTTTGGAAAAGTTTATCGTGCAAATTGGAAAAGTTCTCATAGTAATTATTTAGCATTGAAATCTTTTTTTAATTTCAATGTCATGGCTAAAGAAATTGTTAACGAAGTAATTATTATATATTGTCTTTATGATATGTTGACGTAAATTATGTTCCTAATTTATTAATTTGGTTTAGCTTAAACTTCAGCGTGAAATTGATTTTCATGAAAATATAATTCGCTTTTATGGCATTACAACAGGTATTATAAATATTTTAATCATTATTTTAATAAAATGAAAAAATCTAAAATTTTTATTTTTTTTCAAAAGAAAACCGGAGCAACAATTCAAAAAAATATTTTTTAGTGATGGAATATGCCAATAATGGTACCCTTCGAAACTATTTAAATGGATGTTTTAAAAATCTTACTTGGAATGACAAATTAAATCTAGCATTTCAGTTAGCTAATGCTATATTATTCTTGCATGATGAAGGGATTGTGCATCGTGATTTGGTAGGTTATTTACTTTTGATATTTTATTAAATTATAGAGTTTGTAAAATTATGTACCTAATATTGTTGTTATCATTTTAATTAATAATAGCACTCCAATAACGTATTAGTTCACAAGGATACCGTTAAATTAGCTGATTTTGGATTATCAAAAAGGATTGAAGAATCATCTAATATTCAATCAAAATTATTTGGAATGGTTACTTATGTTGATCCACAAATATTTAATAGAAAAAGAGATAGCAACAACCAAATACAATTATATTCGTTGAATAAAAAGAGTGATGTTTACAGTATTGGCATACTCTTGTGGGAAATATCTAGTGGGCGGCCACCTTTTTGTAATGAACCATATGATGTTGGTTTGGCTATGGAAATATTACATGGTCTTAGAGAGAAACCTATTCCCAATACACCCGATGATTATATAAAAATATATACTGGTAAATAAAAATAAATTTTAATTATGTTCAATAATAATTGCATTTATTAATTACAAGTTCTATTTTATACTTAGATTGCTGGAATAATGAACCAGATAATCGTCTAACTATAAACCAAGTTGTTGCAAAATTAAATGCCATTATTTTAAAAGAAAGTAACCAATTATCAAGTGAACAGCAGAATATTGTTGAAGCTCCTAGAAATATTATTAATAATTCACTGCACGGAGACATGTCTCAACTTATTCAAAATTTTAATAATATGAATACAGAAGAAATAGATACTACAATATCATCAGAGAATAATTTTGATATTATGGTTAATGAAATAGTTCTTCTTTTTGAAAATACAGATATGGAAAGGAGAAAACATGAAATTGTTAATTATCTTAATAATTATAATATAACTTCACAAGAAATTTATAATTGGTTATTGAATAATCAGAATAATTCAAATTCTGTTTTTTTACTTGGAATATTTAATCATCTTGGAATTGAAATTAATGTTGATGAACAAAAAGCATTTAAATTATATCAAATAGCAGCAAATTCAGAAAATGCACCTGGAATAGTTAGTTTAGGATATTGTTATGAAAATGGAATAGGGACCAATATTGATAAACAAAAAGCATTTGAATTATATCAAAAAGCTGCAAATTTAGAAAATACACGTGGAATAACTAATTTAGGATATTGTTATGAAAATGGAATAGGGACCAACATTGATAAACAAAAAGCATTTGAATTATTTCAAAAAGCTGCAAATTTAGAAAATACACGTGGAATAA